AGAGAACCAGCCGCTTGGAGCAGAAAAGCAGATGGACTTGTGTTGAACCGCGCCACCAAGCCGGCCCGGAGGGGGAAGGGCGTTGACCAGCCCGCCCGCTCCTCTCTGGAAAGAAAGATGGCAGCCGCACGGGAGCCTTGTGGAAAGCAGGTTTGAGCCGGGCTCAGGGGAGCGGCGGGGACCTCATGGGAAGGGGGGCTTTGTGGGCCGTCCCCCACGCCCCACCGAGGTCGCCAGCTGCCCCCCACGAGCGGCTCTTCGGCACAGCCACGACTCCAGGGCATAGAAACCAATCTCTTAACTAGCTAACTTTTAATAGAAATTCTTCCAGGGCCAATAAGTAAAATAGCAGAAATTCAAAACCGCGTGGCCGCTATTGCGGCCGTGCGACATCATTCTATTCTTAAACCAAGTTGTAGAAAGCAAATCATTTCACAACGCTGTTTCAGCATGTCTGATTGTGGGGGGTGGGTCGTAAACTCTAAACAATAATTGTGCATCTTCTATCGAAATAATCTATCTAGTCAAAGTAGATAGAGTATTAACTAGAACTCATCTGCCTCACAAGAATTGGGAGGGGTGGGAGGTGGGGGTCTATTGGGGTTCGGGGTTAAAAATGAGTATTGGTAAAGGGAAATGTGTTCGGTATCTACATGACTGAGACCTAAACCCGAAAGCTCTGTAACTTTTCCCACAGTGATTCAATAAATAAATAAATTATTAAAAAAAAACATATATGGCACTTTAAAATTCTACCTTTTAAAAATATTTAAAGTTCTAATAAGTAATAGCCACCCCTTCAGTGCGAGATGCGGAGTATTAATCTACAACATGAGACTTAGGAGGAAACATTCATGCTTCTACATCATGACTTTACTTTGGCTTCCAGGACACACTGCGACTTGCAAGTAGGGTCAGATTCTAACAGTCCTTACTCACACTTACGCCAATTACATCCCAGATGTTTTGTTTTTGTTTGGGGGCCACACCCCGAAGTGCTCAGAATTTACTCCTGGCTCTGTGCTCAGGGGTCAGTTGTGGTGGGCTCAGAGCTTCAAGGATCAAATGTGGCACTGTAAGGTCAAACCCAGGTCAGCTACATGCAAGGAAAGCACCGTCCCCACAGTTCCAACATGCCAGCCTCTGCTAGATGTCTTGGTTATTGTTATGTAATTTTTATTCTTCCAAGAGTCTGACAAAGCAGATATTAGCACCTTTTAATTTTTTTTTGGTAGTGCAGGAATCCAGCCTAGGTCTATGAAATGCAAGGCATGTGCTAAGCACATCCCTGGCCTTATAAACATGTAGAAAATTATTCATGCTTCGTGTGTGTGTGTGTGTGTTTCAGGTCACACCCAGCAATGCACAGAGGTTACTCCTGGCTTTGCACTCAGTAATTACTCCTGGAGGTGCTCAGGTGACCAAATGGGATGCTGGGAATCGAACCTGGGTCGGCAGTGTACAAGGTAAATGTACTACCTGCTGTACTATCACTCCTTCATGCTTCTTATTAACAGGTAGAAAGGTGAAGAAAGTCACTGTTTTAACATGAAGAAGTAAGCTTAGTAAAGAGAGTTACTTGTTCAGAATCTAACAGTTACCCAGGAGCAAAGCTGAGATCGGATGGTTGATCCCGGGACTCATTTCTTTTCTACCCAGAGCAGGGAGGAAGTATTAAGAAATCCTTCATAGATTTGATGGTTCACGATCATGATCACGATCATCCTGTTGTTCGTCGATTGCCTCGAGCAGGCCCCAGTAACGTCTCCTTCATTCTAGCCCTAAAATTTTTTTAAAAAGTGCCATGTTCAGGCTCTTTCAGGGTTAGGAGAATGAGACCCATCATTGTTACTGGTATTTGGCATATTGAGTACACCACGGGGAGTTTTCCAGACTCTGCCGTGTGGGCAGGTTACATTTGGTAGCCTGCCAATTTGTCGAAAGTAAGAATGAGATAATAAGATGTCAAGCGACCGAAAATGCAGCCATGCACTTCCGGGAGCTGGGTTTTATAGTTTCTGGGTCTTGGCCGTTGATGGGATTACAGTTACTGAAATTTATTTTTATCTGTTGAATTCCATACTATGCTATATTTCCTCATTTTTAGTCTAATGCCCTTTTTTTCTGTTCCAGGGTTCCATGCAGATTCTATTTAAATTTCTCCTTTTCTTTGGGGCCTTTTGGTTTGTTTTGTTTGGGGGCCATGCCCTGCTATGTTCAAGGCTTACTCCTCAGGGATCACTCCTGATGGTCCTCAGAGGACCATATTGTAGTGCAGGGGCTCGAACCTGGGTCAGTCTTATGCTGGGCCACGTGCCTTAACTCCCAGACTCTCTTTTCAGCCCTGAAGGTGCCTCTTGATTGTAACAAATTCTCAGACTTCATTGATTTTTGATGGCCTGGGAGGTTTCAGCACTGATCCTGTATTTTGCAGAATGGCCCTCAACTGCAGTTTGCTTAATTGTTTTCTCCTGGTTGGTTCAGGGTTATGGTCTTTGGGAGGATTAAAAACCAAGATTCAAGTGATGAAAGTGCTCATTACTACCGAGATGTTGCTGCTTCAAATCTTTGTCAGGAGAAAGACCAGAACAGCGACTGCTGGAGAAAATCCTCCCCACCCTCAACCCCCAAACATGCAACTTCCGTTTCTCATTCCTGAGTCTTAGAGGTTTTTGTTTTGTTTGCAGTTTGGATATAAGGTCTTTATCAAAATCAGCAGTGCCTTGCTCCGACAATTAAAGTACCTTTGACATAGGCCAGTTTCGGGCACAAATCCACCCGAATGAGCACAAGCCTTGTCTTATTCTGCAGTTTTTCTTCTGTGACTTGATCCTGCAAAGTCCCAGAGAAGACTGCATAAGGTCCGTATGGTCCCCTGACCCTTGCCAGGAGTGATCCCTGAGCTCAGAGCCAGGATTAAGTAAGCCTGTAGTACTGCTGGGTGTGCCCCCAAATCAGAAAGTTTACTGTTATTTCATTTTGGAAATAACATATGAGCTTGTTTTTGCTTCCTTTCCCTGGGAAAAACTAAGCTAGCAGTAAATTGTGCTGGGCATATACTCATGAATTGGTAACCAATGTTTTAAAATCTAGATACTGTTGGAGAAGGCTAATGAGCTCCAGGAGTTATTACAAGTGTCACAAACTATTTCTCAATTGGGTTAAGAGCACTATACCCATCCCCAGTTGAGTGTTTAAAATGGAACAAAACAGAACGGGATGGAATGAACATAACACCAGTAGGCCAACTTGGGATCTATTTTAGTCACCATGTCCCACATTGCCTTGTTTTGAAATTTTGCTTATAAATACAATCTGGAGAGTAAAACCATTCTACTTCCTAATTTGTCTACTTGCAACAACACAGACGTAGGGTGCTGGCCCTGAAGTTGGGGTGTTACCCTAGGAGTATAATGAAGCTTTCCAGATGATTTATGGTGTGTGGTTTGATTCTGAACTCATTCAAAATATTATCTTTAAACTTTTGGTCTGGAAATGTCTTCCCATAGCATTTTTATAAAAATCTTCTTTTCCTGCCTTCGCCAGTTCCACAGCCAGCATGTACTGAAAAGTGATCATTAAGAAACAGCAACTGGGAAAGTTCCAAGTTTGCAGTGCTCCATGGGGCACAAGAAGATAGAAATAAAATGGAAGCTAAGATTCTGATTGTTCCTACAGGCCTCGATGATACCCCAGGCAATGCCAGTGTTCTATTGTCTCCTACTTCTATACGTCCCAGCCACTTAAGGTTGCCCATGTGGCAGCGAGAACACAGTGATCTGCCATAACCCTGCCTGTTACACTCACAAAGGGGATCAGCTCAGCATCCACGATGATTTAAACAGATCCTTGCCACCGGATCCTACAAAACTGATGGCTTTAACCAAGTCACAGATGTAAGTTTGATTGGATGGATCAGGACCTCAAGGTTTATCTTTATTTTTCAAAAAAAAATTATTTATTTGGGGCTGGAGCGATAGCACAGTGAGTAGGGCATTTGCCTTGCATGTAGCCAACCTGCGTTCGATTCCCAGCATCCCACATGGTCCCCTGAGCACCACCAGAAGTAATTCCTGAGTGCAAAGCCAGGAGTAACCCCTGAGCATCGCTGGGTGTGACCCAAAAAGAAAAAAAAAGCTCAACTCTCCAGCCACTTAATGCTGCAGGATAACAAGCCTTGTTTCCTTGCCGGGCACACTTCCGGTCAGTTGCAATGTGTCCCCCTAACGTCATAGCATGTCTGAGGGGGCTCGGTGGGGAAGGAGCAAGATGGCAGAGCAGCTAGCCGGGGAGCGCCCGGCTTCATTTCTGACAACTGGGTCACTCAGGCAACTCCCCTAGGAATAAAGTCAAGCTGGAAAACAGTGTTGTTTTTTCAAGGTGATCATTCAGTTTTATTTTTAACAGGCAAGTTCTCTGGTTGATTTTAGAAGAGCAAAGACAGCAGCCAGTCATGTCTTAGGCTGATGCGTGCTACCCGGGTGAGAGTTAGGCACCAGGCTACTTTGCTAGAATTTAAAGGAGTACGACATGTGTGAATAAAATGATATGAGAGCTGTATAATTCTGAATAATAAAGATTAAGGTGGTAATGTTGGTCCCTCGAGGTACTGGTATTTAAACTCTGAAAGTCAATCAAGAGAGAAGATTAAGTGGTGTTTCTGTGTTGCTAAAAATGTAAAGCTAAGACCTAATCGTTCGATTTTCACAGATTCAAAATACAGAGATATTTAAAGATATTAAAATGGCTATTAAATTCTCTTCCGGTTTGTGAAGAGTGTCCTATGAAGTATAGTTAGAAATCCCTGAGTATATTCTGCAACTGTTAGTATCTTCCTTCAGAAACAAAGAGGAACAATTAAGAAGTTCTGCAAAACAAACAACACAGCACTTAGCAAACAATCTGGGTAGAAGATGCCTTCCAGAGCCCTGGAAGTTAGGCCTCCTGAAGGCTTGACAGGAGCAGCTCCACATCAAGGAAAGGTGCTATTTGAACACGTTTCAGGGACCAGCGGATTGTGCAAGCCAGTTTTTTATGCTCTCTCTGTTTAGTTTCAGCCATTCGATGTTGTTCTTCACGGTCTCCAGCACTTGCTGCCGAGGTGTCTCTCCTGCTCCAGCTTCTGGATACTTCGCGAAAAAGGTTTCCATCTGTAAGAGAGAGGAACATGATGAAATGATGGAGGAAGAGCTTCTCCGGGCCAATTATTCTTCAGGCTTTTTATTGAAATTGGATCTGTTTCCTTTGTCCCTGGGAAATGAATATCAGTGCTGAACTGCGACGTAGCCCCTGAAGTATGGCTTGAGGCTGGGCCCCCCATGGCCACCCATGGCTCTCCCACCCCCTGGTCTGGAAGCCGGGACAGAAGCCTGGGCCTGGCTGCTGCTCCAGGCAAGCTCTTGCCTTGCTTGCCCCTTCCTGCCTCTGTTTCCTCCGATTTTCTTACTGTGCCTTTCCAGGTGGTCCCGGGAAAATGGGGTCTGTGGAATGATGGCTCTGCTAAAACCTTTGCCCCAGGAACATGGGCTATTTTGAGGTGCTCTGAGTTTCACTTTTCATTTGGGTTGTGCATGGGGCTTATTCCTGGTTCTGTCCGCAGATTTGTTTTTGGTGGAGTAACAGGGAACACCCGGGGGTGGGGGGTGGGGATCAAACCTGGGTCAGCTGCGTGCAAGTGCAAGGAAAGACCCTCCCTGTCGTACTATTATTCCAGCCCTGACTTCCCTTTTTAAGGACTAGTTACAAGAAGGAAAAATCAAAGAAAAACAAAATGGCAAAAACAAACAAACTGGGTCTGTTGAAAGAAACTCGGCTCTGTGCTCCCCCTCCTCACAGGGAGATTGCATGGGAGAGGCAAGACTGTGGCTGTTTCTCAGTGTACAGGAGAAGGTCGACAGCCCACGGCCAGTGTGCGTGTGGCTGTGGGTGCTGAATTCATCCCTGAGGTGCATTTTCTCCTCCCCACTGTCAGCCCGTGAACTCGAAACCAGATGTGGTTTTCATTTGGAAGATTTTTTTCACCCCCCAGTGTCTGAGGCTGAACTCGGGACCCCATATAGGTGAACCCTGGGGTTGGCTGTTCCATCATGCCATCCTCGTGGTTCTTTTTTGTTTTTATTAAATCACCGTGAGATACAGCTACACAGCTTTCATGTTTGAGATTCAGCCATACAATGATTGAACACCCATCGCTCCAGCAGTGCAAATTTTCCAACCACCAATGTCCCCATTATCTGCCCCCCTACCCCATTCCAGTCCTCACCCTGCCTCTATGGCAGACAATTTTCCTAGTAGTCTCTCTCTACTTTTAGACATTATATTTTGCTCAAATTTTCCCACCACCTTTCAAGCCTGTCTACCAGGGACAGAGGCTAGATCATTTATTTTCCATTGACTTAGCTCGGAAATCCCAAAAGGGATTTCAGCTGTGTGTGTGTTAGTAATTGGCTATCTCTGAGTCCTGTAAATGCCTCCCAAGGCTTTGCCCTTTTCTCAAAACTCAAAGTAGGTATATATTGAATTAGATATAATAATTATATTTGGGGGCCAGAGAGAGACTATAGTGGGTACGTCATTTGCCGTGCATGCAGTCAACCCAGGTTCAATCTTCAGCATCCCAGATTGTCTCTTGAATGTCCCAGGAGTCAATTCCTGACCACAGAGCCCGGAGTAAACCCTGAGAATAGCCAAAACCCAAATCAAACATCCCCCAAATTATATTTCTTTCTTTCCTTCTGAATAAGTGAAAACATTTTCTCTACTTTTTTTTTTAATCAAATTTTGTTCCCTCCTAGTAGCATTGCATTGCACTGCACTGTCCTCCCGTTGTAAGATACTCTAGGTAGCTTGCCGGGCTCTCCGAGAGGGGCGGAGGAATCGAACCTGGCTCGGCCAGGCTGGCTGTACACAAGGCAAACGCCCTACCGCTGTGCTAGCGCTCCAGCCTCCCTCCTAGTAAAGACTAATTTTACGTCTTACCTCCCAGAGCTGTAGCTCCGTGTTGAAGGAGTCTGCTATGGTGACGATCCGGCCGAAACTCCGGTCATTGATTGTGAATCTGAGGGGAAATTGAGAGTGAGGGGGGTGTATGCATGCCTGGAAAGCTAACTCTCCTTCCTACCCACATCTCTCCTTTTCAGTAGGTTCAAAACACAGCGAAGAAACACGTTTCACAGAAAGTTATTTTTAAGAGAAGAAATTCTTAGTAAATTCTGGGGCTTGGGGTGGGGGTACTGTTTTGGGAGGAGTCCAGGGTGCCAGTGCTTGAACATGGGGTTCCTGCACACGCCCCAGCCCTCGCAGTCTCGCCCTGGCTCCTGGCTTCTTCTTTGTGGACAGATGCACCCCCCCATCTCCGTGGTGATCTCTGCATGCTGGCATCCCCACAGTGTCTTTCCTTTTGTGCCTCTCAACACACAGGAGCACCCCGGTAGCCTCTGCTGCCTAGGTTCCACCCGATGAGCTGCAGATGCGGCCCAGAGCCCAGCCATGGAGCATGAAGCTGTGAAACCGGTGAAACTGCGGGACAAGACCAGTGATGCTCTGCCTCGGGTGGGGGAGGGAAAGCCTTTGCTCCCGGGCTGTCCTCTCCCCATCCTTCAAGTCCAGGCTTTAAGCAGCAGCAAAACCAAAACCTCCCACCAATGCTGCCCTCAGGAAACTGACCGCAATGAGGAACGCTGACCTGTGGTCCTGCTCAGGGGCCGCTCTCTGTGTTGGAGCAGAGCTGCACTCGCCCCTCTGCCCTAACCATTGCTCTGTGCATCTTCCCGAGGCTGGGATTTAGCCCTGACAGCCCCCACCCCCTCGAAGGCTCTGGCTTTGGCCTCTGTGCCCAGTTCCATCCCGACTCATGGGGGCTGCACTCGCTCTCCCTGTCTTCACTGTTCTCATGGGTGCCCCCTCTTCCTCTGGGCCCCAGCAGGGCTCCGGGCTCCCCAGGACAGAGACCCAGGTGGATCCAGCTGAAGTCCTTCCCTCCAGCCGCACTGCCAGTGCTTGGCGGGGAGGCTGGAAGGGTACTGAAAGCACAGTTCACAGCGAGTGGCCAGTACTGTCCAGTGCACGACAAGGCTACTGAAGAATCACTGCACTGACTCACAAATAAATCTCACAGATCAACAAAAATAAATCTCACAACTAAGAGATCAACAAGAGAGTTACAGAGATGCCTCCAGACCCCACACCAGGCTGAACGTCATAGCTGGGGCACCCCGGAGGGGGGCAGGAGAGTTCCCCCCACCCATCCTAGCAGATCCCAGCAGCCTGAAAGCCTCCAGAGCACAATCACCGCCAGGCACTCAGATGAGCCTCATCCATGAGTGGGTCTGCTAAGAAACTGAGGTCTGTGGGGTTTGTGACCGAACTCTCCAGGCTTTCATGGAGTTGGGGATGGGAGACTTCCCCCAGGTGCCTGTTTTCCTGGGTGCCTGGCAGTCACACCCACAAACTGCCTCTGGTGCCATATAAGTTCATTAGCCGGCCAAGATTCAGAGACTCACAAATAAATCTTGGTCACAAGAGATCAACAAGCTGCACAGACCCCAAAGTCACCATCCAGTTAAAAAAATTTAATTCCAGCTGTATCACCTTATTTAAAGTTTTAGAATTCCTGGAGCATGCACCATCTCATACTCGATACCACTGATGTACCAGGAGTAGCACACATTGGACAGGATGTAAGGTAGAAGACAACCAACCTCAATTAAAAAAATATTAGCACACAAAGCTCAACGTGTAACAACATGTTAGTAATCTCTTATACAAGGGCTCAATGGCTCCAGGCTGAGATACAACAATCTTCACACACTTTCTTATAAGAAAATCTTTTTTTAAAATCATTTTTGGAGAACTATTCATAGCAATCAGTGCAAAATAGATTATTTAGGGCCTGCTATTGGGGCAGGCTTGGATGGTGGTTGGAAAAATTGGAAATAATGGTGGTGGGTATAGGTGTGATGGTGGTGGGATTGGTGTTGGAATATTGAATAATTGTGAACAACCTTATAAAAATAGAATTGAATTAAAAAAAGAAAGAATGACTGCACCAGGTAGTGCAATGGTTGGGAAAAATGGGCATAATTTCCAGAAAACTCTTTTCTGAGTGGCAGCCCCACAACATGCAGGAGAATGCACATGACTGAGCCCATCACTCCTGCACAAGTGCTCCCTGGGACCCACAGAAGTTGTCAAGGACATTAAAACGGAACAAAGAGATTTTGTTTAGATGTTCTTTGTCCAAATGTTACTTATAGAGTCTGGAGTTTGGAATCATCCTATTATTGGCCATATGCACTGAGATGTACCTACACACTAAAATTCTAGCATCAAAAATGTTTTCTGGTTTTGGTTTGTTATGAAGACTTAAAGGACAGAAAAGACACCCATGATATAGGATGATGTAGGGGTGGGTGTGGGTGGGGAAGAAGGCTTGATGCCCATGTGTTTACTATGATTGCATTTCTGTAAATAAATAACCACATAGAAATGACTCAAGGCAAAGTAGAAGTGTGAGAGCAGAGGGCTGTTTCTAGGGGAGCAAGGTGGGGGGGACCATGCATGGCTACTGTACCCTAATTTTGTTAGTCTGTATTTCCTCTAAAAATTTTTTTCTCAAATAACAAAAGGAAGCCATGTAAGTTTTTAACAGTGACATAGGGATTAAATTCGATCTTAACTATTTTGAAAATAATCATAGAAATCATCTTCTCGGACTCAATATGCATGTGCCTATTACTCTGTTATCCAGAAGTTATTTTGATGCACATAAACCTTTAATTAAGTGCTTATGAAATTATTTTGTTTATGAGGCAGTGTTTAAGTGGTTTCAGTCATGTGCCATTGACTAAATTTTTCATTGAGAGCCATAAATTAAAACCAAACTTTATCACACATGATTGACTTGAAGGAGTTCATTCAACTTCTCACTTTCGTCCAGGAATTCAGTGGAAAAGACAAGAGCAAAGAGTATTTTTTGAAGCATCTTAATTTTGTCAAAAGTTTTGAAACTCCGTGGTGGGTATGAACATCAGTTGTCATGAAAATCACGTGGCAAATGTTTAAAAGCAAATTTAAAAGCTACTCATTTATCTTGGAATGACAAACAATTGTTTAGAAATGGGGGCAATTCATTCTGAAGTCTGGAAAACATTCAGGAGTGTGGAAATATCTGGATAATACTTGACTCACTCCATTTGTCTCACCCAACTCTAATGGAGAAATACTCTTTACTCAAACTAACCATAATTAATAGTTTACTTTTTCATGTCTGACATGTGGTTATGATATAATTTTATGTTTGAAGCTATTTGAAATAATACTTGATGTGAATTAGATCACTAGACTATGAAGAAATATTCAAAGCCTTGGCCAAGGGTTTTGGAACTAGCATTGGAAGTAGTTTATCAATTTATTTTTATTGAAAAAAATTAAGTATGAGTTCTAATAGGTTTATTTTAAGGCAAGATGTTTATGACTTTTATGACAAGACAACTTTTCCCCCTCGTATTTAAGAGGTAAACCATTAAACATTTTTTTGGGAAGAAGACCTTAGGAAATGGAAAAACATTTTATACTAATGGATTGAAAGAATCAATATTGTCAAAATGACCATCTTACCTACACTACTCTATAGATTCGATGCCATCTCTCTCCAAATTCAGACATCAGTCTTCAAGCACTAAGAACAGTCAATTATAAAGTTTGTGTGGAATCATAAAAGACCCACATAGCCAAAATCATACTGAAAAACAAGGAAGCGGGAGGCATCTCACTCCTTAACTTAAATCTGTATATAAAGCCATAGTAATCAAAACAGTGTGGTACTGGAATAAATAAACTAATTTTTTAAATTTTATTTTTTAATTTGTTTTTTGGCGCCATACCTAGTAGAGCTAACTCCTGACTCTGCACTCAGGAACCACTTCTGGTGGGCTCCAGGGACCATGTGTGGTGCCAGGGATCAAGCCTAGGTGAGCCACTTATAAAGAAAGCCCCTTACCAGCTGTACTATTTCTCTAGCCTTATACTAATTTTTTTAAATAAAAAATACATTGTTTGAAATAAATAGCACCAGAACTATTCAGTAGGCCTTGAGAAGTACTACATTCGATAATAAGGCAATGGCTATTTTATGCAAAAGAACATTATTTTCATAATCTTTCAACAGTACACATTTCTCTTCACCTACTCAGGTTTTTCTGTAGCCTATACTCTCCTATTCCCTCCACAAAGTTGGAGTGTATTCTTCAATAGGCCTGAATAAATCCTTTTCCTTCTGTGGAAAGATTTGGATAAAGAAATAAAAATGACCATCATAAATGGGGGGGTGGTGGAGAGTAAGTCAGATAGAGAAGGGACCAGTATGACAATATTAGTTGGAAATAATCACATTGGATAAGAACTGAATGCTGAAAGAAGGTAAAGGAATATACATGAAAATCTTTCATTACCTGTATTGCAAACCACAATGCCCAAAAGGAGAGGTGGGGGAGAGGGAGGGAAGGAGGGAGGGAGAGAGGTGGGGGTGTGGGGGTGATGGGAGGGAACCTGGGGACACTGGTGCTAGGAATGTACACTGGTGGAGGGATGGGTGTTGGAACATTATGTCTGAAACCCAATCAGGAACAGCTTTGTAACTGTATCTCATGGTGATTCGATTTTAAAACAAAACAAAAGGACAGTCACAGCAGTATCTGCTGTGATGCTGAGGGGAGCTGGGCCATGAGGAGGAAAGGCTGGGAGGGTCTTGTCTGCTGTAGCGGGGGGGAGGGGGGTCACCGATGGTAAGTAAAAGCCTTTGGGCCAACAGTGATACGATATGTAAGGGCTACACCCTGAATTCTCTTTCATACTGTCAAAGGGACAGGCTTTTGATGACAATTAGTGTTAAAGAGATGAGGCCCAAGGACAGGAATATTTCATCTATGCGAGACAGAGGAGCTAAGAACTGCTGAAAGCATCTCAGGGAACTTCCCTTGCCTGCTAATTCCCAGTCTACAGCTGCTACTTTCTATTTGGGAACTAGACTGTCCTTTCTCAAAAATCTTTCAAAATACATAAGATCAACTCTCTGGCCAAGTAAGAAAAAAGACCTAGGTACGTTCCTGGGCTCAGATCTCAGCCGGGTTCAGGAATTCTCTGGGAGCTTCAAGCAGTGATGAGTCTCGTATTCAAGCAGAGTACGAGCCTGGTGTTGGGCTGGCAGAAGGCTGGGGGGGAAGGGTGTGGGCTGCCCTGCAGTGCCCTGCAGGACTTCCAGCATGGCCCTCGGGCTGTTCCTAGTGGCACTCAGAAGCACAGTGGCCGGGAACCTCTGAGCTGGCCCATGGCTCAGAGGAACATTCTCTGATGGACACAAATGTCTCCCTGATCTCAGAACTCTGTAGAACCACTGGAAATAGTTCTTTCCAGAAGAATGAACTGGCACAGCGCATCCTCAGCAGGGGAGTACCGAGACCCTTCACTTCTAGTCAGCTGGGACTTGATGTACAGATGTGAAGGCAAGCAGGGCCCAGAGAGCAACAGAGGGTACACAGTGCCCGCCTGAGACCCCCACTGCTGTCTCAAGACTGGCACCACAGACGTGCCCAGCTGCCGAAAATTTCAGGAATGCTGGATTTGGGGGAGCTGAAAACCCCAGGCCTTCTTGGAGTGGGGGTGGGTGACCTCCACCCCCCAACCCCACGCCTGTTCCCCACCCCCATATTTCCAGAAGCCCTGGCAGCCACACCCACGTTCCACCACCAGGTAAGCTCGCTGCCCAGTTAAAAATTCTGGATTTTCCAGACAACTCCAAACTCTACGATTCTAACATCACACTGACATTCTAACATCACATCCCAGTAGGAGCACAGCAGATGGGATGGGACGGTAACGTAGATGCCAAACAAGCTCAATTAATAAAAAAATGAATACTGAAGACTCAACTAGCAACACCAGCTTGACACACCCTCGGACAAGGACTTCAAGTGCCCATGGGGAGATGCAATAACTTTGACAAGTCTTCTTTCACTGAAGTTCTTTTTTTTTCTTCCTATTTGGGTCACACCCAGCGATGCTTAGGGGTCACTCCTGGCTCTGCATTCAGGGATTACTCCTGGTTGTGCACTCGGGGGACCATATGGGATGCTGGGAATCAAACCTGTCTCAGCTGTGTGCAAGGCAAATGCCCTACCCGCTGTGCTATCACTCCAGTTCCTCACTGAAGTATTTTTTGATCAGTGCACTAGACACTTAGTGGTCACAAGCAATAAAAAATAAATTATTTGGGGCCTGCTATGGGGCCAGACTTGAGGGGTGGTGGGTAAAATGGGCATGATGGTGAAGGGAAGTGGACAGTGGTAGTGGGATTGGGGTTGGAATATCGAATGCCTGTAACAAATCATCATGAACGACTCTGTAAACCATGGTGTTTAAATCAAGTGGGGGGAAGGAGAAAGAGATGGTAGTTTAAGAGGAGAGTAAGCAAACCATCATTGGGTCATCCCACCTGTCGATCAGATAGTCCCAGTTGAGCTGGATCCAGTTCCAAGCCATAAACTTCCCGTAGGGGTTATAGGAGATGTAGCGGATGACTGTGAACACATCCTGGCTCTTAATGACACTTGGGTCCTTGAGCAATTCCAAAAACCTATGAGAAGTCAATCAGGACAATGAGTCTAAAGGAACACTTAATGTTCACCCATAGCCTATTTCTTTTCTTTCTCCCCTTTTACTTTCAGTTACTTTCAACAGAACATAGCTTTTTATCTCAATTATACAACTCTCAAGACATGACTGACAAATGTAATTAAAACATACAGATAGAGAAGGGAGCACCAAATAAAGGGTGTTGGGAGGATCCTCCCAGGATGGGAGAAGCATGCTGAAAGTAGACTACAGACCAAACATGATTGCCACCCATTGCCTCTTTTGCAAACCATAACACCCAATAAGAGAGAGAGAACAAAAGGGAATGCCCTGCCACAGAGGCAAGATGGGGGGAGGAGATAGGGGGTGGGAGGGATACTGGGACCTGTGGTGGTGGAAAATGGGCACTGGTGGAGGGATGGGTACTTGATCATTGTATAACTGAAACCCAAGCACAAAAATTTGTAAATCTACAACTGTACCTCATGGTGTTTCACTAATAAAATATTTTAAAAATTAAAAAAATAAAAACATTTAAAAAAATACCGAAGGATGAAAATCACAATTTAAAATTTTGTAGAATTGCTTTTAGCACGAGTGAAATGCAAACTGTAACATTTTGAAAGCTGAAATCTTGGGAGACACAAATTAATTTTTTAAAAGTAACTACTAATATAAAAGTTAATTGCATTTATTGAGTAGACATACTTCACTCGTCTAGTATCAGGCTGAACTAAAAATACAGTAACCAGAAAATCAGAAGAAAACATTTATATGCTTACTCTTATTTATTTTAATGTTTTATTTATCTATTTAATTTTTGCTTTTGGGGTCACACCTGGCAATGCTCAGGGTTTACTCCTGGCTAGCAGGTATAACTCCTGGTGGTGCTTGGGGGACCAGATGGGATTCCGGGGATGGAACCCATGTTGGCTGCATGCAAGGCAAATGCCCTCCCTGCTGTGCTACCACTCCAACCTATATGCTTACTTTTATTTTAATTTTTTATGCTTAGTTTTAATAGAAAAAACAGTTAAGCCTCTGTTTTTTCCCCCTAGATTGTGAGAAACAACCTTCTAATGTAACCTAGACAGATTAGTTGCTGTAGTTATTTTATAGCAAGAATAAGTCCAAGAGAATCAAGTGACAAAACCAGTTGGGATATATAGATGGAGTTGGTTCATTTTGTGTGGGGATGTGAACCAGGACAGAACCTGGGACTTCAGGCCCGTCTGGCCTCACCCTGGCCCTAGACATTTCTGCTATTTATGCTGAACCTCTGGAGGAGAAATCAAATGCCACAATCCTTCATAATCCAAAAAAGACACAGGCTGGGGCCAAAGAAAAAGTACAACAAGAAGGGCATTTGCCTTGCATGCGGACGGCGCGGGTTCGATTCCCACCATCTCATATGGTCCCCTGAGCACTGCCAGGAGTAATTCCTGAGTGCAGAGCCAGGAGTAACCCCTGAGCATTGCCAGGAGGTGTTAACCAAAAAGTCGAAAAAAAAAAAAAAGAAAAGAAAAAGAAAAAAGACATAGGCCATGACGCCAGGACCCCCAGTGGGTTCTTAAAAGTGTGAGCAATACTGAACCCAGATAATCTATGCTTCCTCCTATGCATACCTATGAGAAAGTTTAGTTTACAAACCAGATACTATAAGAGATTAACAACTAACTAACAAGAGATTAACAGTTACAAGAACATAGCACTGTATCACTGTGTGTGGGTCCAGTAACATCTCCATTGTGAGACTTGTTGTTACTGTGTTTGGCATATTGAATACTTCACGGGTAGCTTGCCAGACTTTGCCGTGTGGGTGAGATAATCTCGGTAGCTTGCCGGGCTCTCCGAGAGGGGCAGAGGAATCAAACTTAGGTCGGCTGGGTCAGTTGCATGCAAGGCAAACACCTTACTCACTGTGCTATCGCTCCAGCCCTACAAGAACATATTCTAATAAAAGTGATTGAGCTCTAATATCTTATTGTATATTCTGACCTGGGTAGCTGAAACTTCAGGAAGCAAACCTTGGGTAAGTGGGTACAGAAAGAGAGTGAGAGCAAAAGAGAGGGGGGAAGAGAGGGAGAGAGTGTCCCTCCTTGATCCAAGGGAAGGCAGGCTTCACCCAAGTCAAAGTAAGTCACGTTCATCTTTGCCAGAAAATTATCAAGTAGACCCAGAGTGGGACCCAGAACAGTCAAGTGTGACCCAGCTCTGGATTAGAGGGAGAGTGAAATGACTGAGCTCTGAGAATGACAGAAATCACCCTGAGGATGGACTCTGCTCTCCTGTCATACTATTTTTGGGGGAGGACCAAATCTGGCTTCACTCGGGGCTTACTCCTAGCTCTGTGCTCAGGGATCACTCCTGGTGGGACTCAGTGAACCACATGGGATGCTGAGGATCAAACCTGGGTCCACCGCATGCAAGGCAAGTACCCTCTCTGTGGTACTATCGCTCCAGTCCAAGAATTGGGCATCTTTATCCAGAACTCTGGAGGGGATAAGACAGTGGTCACGTGGAAACAGCAGACCAGAAAGCGAAAGAGCTAAGGTTCTGGAGGAAAACGCTGGCTCTGGACACTGACCAACTCGGGAACTCTTTCACAGGAGAGTCTATTTGCTTAAGGCTTCAGTTAAGTCATCGTTTGGTTCTTGGAAGTGCCAATCATGTTTAATAGATTTTCTGTGGAGAACAAGCATCATGTGCCTCTCGGAGAGACTGTGACATATAAACCACCAATCACTACTCCTCTAAGTGAAAGGAGAGCTCCCACGTACCTTGAGAGAAGAGTCACATTATTCACGGAGGCTAACCCATAGAGCAGTTTTTCTTTCTCTTGCGCTAAGGATGTTTTCTTGTATTGCTCAAGTGTGTAGTTCCAGGATGTCTCGTTGCCAGACTCCTGCATCCCGTAGCGGTAGGCCAGGAGCCTGAGGTTCACAGGGATGCTGCAGGGAGACACAGGCCTTAGGATACCTCAGCAACACTTTTCCTCAGTTTGGAATCTTCTCTTGACACACCCCATCCCGGAGCTGCACCTCCCACCCCCTCATTTCCTTAATGCGAATAAAACACTTTATTCAAGACATCTCCTTGATTTCAAATAAAATACTTGAAAAAAAAAAAAACACCCCAAGTCTTCTGGAAATAGAAACACACTATGCACGGTCACCTATAAGAAGGTTCATTGATCCACTTCTTGAATTCTTCGGAAGCATTTTTCAAGGCTTCTGAATATTTCACCTTGCACGCGAACCCGAACACAGAGGCACGGAGCAACCTGAGAAGGAAACACGCACAGGGCTGTGGTGAGGGGTGCTTTGCAGGCCGCTAAGGCAGACACTAAGCAGTTGGGCCGGGCAGGGACCGGGCTACCTCTCAATGTGGTCTCCATTGTCATTCCACCCCAGTTTATCCACGATGGGCTTCACACGAGCTTGGAAATAGGCCTGAAAGCAAAGCACCAAGAGCGATGAGAAGTGATTTCTTGTGTATCAGGTTTCCGGTTTCTTGTCTCCTGCTGCTGTGACTGGGTCTTCCTGCCACTGAGGGCTTTGGGGGTGCTCTTAGTGAAATTCTGCTTTCTCTTGCCAGGGTCCAATCTGCCTTCAGTTCTGAGAATGAGACCACCCTGGAACTTTTGTCAGATGTTTTGTAAAACTCTGAGGAAATTCTTTTCTTGCCTGTGTTTTGGGGGCCACATGCCTGACACTGCTCAGGGCTTCCTCCTGGCCCTGCGTTCAAGAGGTCACTCCTGGCGGGGCTCAGGGGGCCATGTGGGGTCCCGGGGTTCAAAGACAAGTGCCCTAGTACCGGACCATCTCTCTAGCTCTTGAGTGAATGGTGACTCCTCCTCCCTTTATGACCTTTTTGCTTCGGAACCAGCAGTGCTCAGGGCATACTCGTGGCTCTGTGCTCAGGGGGTCACTCCTGGCAGGGCTGGGGGACCACCTGGTGTTTGGTATTGAACCAGGGTCTGTCAGCTGCACGCAAGGCAAGCACCTAAGCCCTGGACTATGTCTCGGATCCCCCTTACCTCCACTTCTTAGTGGAACTGTAGAGTCACTGTGTAATAAAGAAGATTCTCAATCAGGAGAATAATCCTGACATATGCACTGCCTAAGACTGGGGCCCAAGAGATGGTATGGACAGCCGGAACACAAGCTTCCGACATGCCCAGATCCGTGGTTCAACCTTGGCACCACAGGCCCTAACCCATGGGCAGCCCTGCAGGCCCAGTCCTGCCAGGGCAGCCCGGGGGGTAACCAGTGAGGCAGGGCTGCTCCCCGGTGTGGAGCTACCTTGGGGGGGGGGCAGTCAAGTATGCGCAGGAGAGACCTCAGGTCTCTGAGCACTGCCCGAGGGAGGCCTTCTTCCTCCCCTCCCCCCAAAAATGACTGCTCAGATATTGGTAAAATAAACCACTGGTGACTAACACACATATATTGTCTTGGAAATTTTAAAGGACAGTCATATGGCTCAGCATCTCACTAGCCCATGACTGCACCCAGCCAAATACTGACATCGCTATTATCCCCACGAAGTGAATGATTCATGAATTTATCAATGTTGTCTTGCTTGTTTGCATATAGTTGCTTGTGGGGGCCACACCTGGCCAGGGTGCTGGGGTTGGGTGTCACTCAGACCCAGCAGTGATCAGGGATGGATCTCCGGGCTACAGCAGCAGGGAGGCATTGTCTGGGCTCTGGGGAGTAAGTTCTGTGAGTCAGTGGGGGAGTGATCTGAACCCATATGTTTTAAGATGGCCTGGGGCCTGGCAGAGAGCGGTGAGCACCCCACAGCGAGGGGTGTGTGAGGAGTGACAGACGGTAAAATCTCACTGAGGAATCAGGAAACTGGCTCTGTCCTGGTCTGAGCAAATTCATTCCCAACAGAGACAGACTCATGAAAAATAAGATGTAGCCATAGTTGTGGTTTAAAATGTGCACGTTAAATAAAATAGTAAGGGCCGGAGAGATGGGACAGTGGGTGGCGCATGTGTCTTCTACACAGCTGACCAGGGTTCTATCCTCGACAACCTTCAAGGTTCCCCCAGCCCCACCGGTAGTGATCTCTGAGTGCAGAGTCAGGAGGAAGCCCTGAGCACCACCAGGGTGGTCACCAACGCCCAAATAATTGAACAGAAATTGAAGGACAGTCGTCTTTTAGCGACTCACATATGCCATCCAGGGCTCTGCTGAACCACAGGGAGAGTTGCTAGAGCCTGGACAAATGGTGTCAGTGCATTGGCTTTGGCTGATTCCTTCAGGTGCTACCCCCCGCCCCCCGTGGCTAACCGTCAGCACCTCACCTCGATCTGAGGGTTCAGTTCTTTATCGTCTTCAAGCATGCTGATGATGTAGGTCACCGAAGAGATGGCTCTCTGCCACGGCAAATAATCTGCTTCCATGTTAAGGTACTTGGTTAAGTCCAGAGCTACGCCGTAGTCTATCAGTTGAGCTCTAAGAACAAAGGGAAACAGAGGAATTGTAAACCACAGACTAGTTGCCCTTTGAAAATAGAAATGTGGGAAATGATAGGCTTAAAGGCTGCTGACATTTCTCCTGCTAAGTAGCTAAAATAAGGTACTTCTTGTTAGGACCCCCTCCAAGGTCTGTCAGCAACAATGAACTCTTGCTCTGGCACGGAGTCTGTGTGAAAGGAAGCCTGACATAAACCGCACATTTGAAAGCCCTTTGTGCTATAGGGTTCATATTGATGAATAGAAACTTTAAATTTCAAATTCACAAGCTGATTGTAATATGTAAATGTACCATTACAAATGGAGGTTATTAAAGTTAAATTGATATAAAGTAGAACCCTGAATGACCTCACTGATGAATAATAAAGGTTAAAAACATTCCAATCGAACTCATTTATTTTACATTAACAATGGCCCCTTTTATCCTAATAAGCTCAATATGCACAAGTGACTTCTTTGTTGTCTGTCTGGGTGCCACACCTAGCAGTGCCCAGGGATCACTCCTGGTGGACTCAGGATGCCATACAGGATGCTGGGGTGGAACCCGACTCAGTCATGTGCAAGGCAAGCACCCTACCTGCTGTGCTACCAATCAGCCCTCATAGAAGTGACCTACGTCCTTCCACAAAAATGCAAACTATTATCAACATCTCAAAATGTAAAGAATCCAATGTCTTCTAGAGCCTTCTGACATCATGGTCTCAAAAATCAACGTTGCCTTGCTGGCCTGGGTGCTGGAGTGAATTTGAGATGCAGGCCATCTTTTGGAGTTAACATCCAGAAAGTCTAGCTTAAAGAAAAGCTGTGAATGATTCAATGCGCAATTCTGCTCGTTGAATACTCTGTAAATGAAGAATAATGTTTTCCTACTTCGATTTCTCCTCTAGGAGTATGAACCTGTCTTGGGAATAAAGAGAGCAAAAACACCTGGGCCAAGAGATGCCTGAGGATGGTGGTGGCGGCAGGTGTGTTTTGCACGTGAGATCCTCAGGACTGATCCCCGGCATCGCACGGTCCTTCCCCCAGCATTGCCAAGCATGGTACCTCCCTCCAGAACTATACAGAATAAAAAATTCTCTGCAATTGTATTATTTGTACTAAGTGAGATACGATGGAGAGTTTGTTTCCAGTCAGAATGCTGAGCTTCCCTCCTGGCCCCTCGGTTCTTGATGTGGCAGCCAGCAACACCGGGGTCCATGGCCCCAAGCCCACTGTCCCCGCGTACCTCACATGGCGTGTGGGGTGGGGGGCAGCGCAGGGGCCAGCCCTGCTGTTCTCCACAGCAGCTGCCGTGGCTGCAGCCTGCCCAGGGCGCTTCAGATCTCTCTCCCTCTCTTCTCTGCCACAGCTCTGCAAAATTTTATGGGGCTTTGGGCCAAGGAGCAGAGCCCATTCCTGACGGCCTTTCCATTGCGCAAGCCTGGCGTCCGTGCGCGGGGTCCCACGGTCTGTCCGCTGGAGAGGGGTCTCATGCTGGGGTGTTCAAATGACGGCTGAGGTGGGACTCCCGCTGGGAAGCGGTTCGGATGCTGCATGTCTCTCCTAGCCTCGGGCCTGGCCCCTGGAAAGCTGATTCTGACTAATCCCACCGAGGCTCAAAAGCCTGATGGACCCCCTTGCCACGCTTTGTTCCCAGCTCAGCAGAGCGCCTCGCCTCGCTGCACTGAGCTGGCGGGGAAGAAGCCTGCCTGCCACTAGGGGTCCCAGAGGGACAGGGGGTCGTGTGCTCAGAAGCACCTTCTAAGGGCTTCTGTGCCGTCACCAGGCAGGACAGCAACGTGAGGTTCTCACCAAGGCGCTGCTTGCTGGGTCTGTCTCCACTCCCTCAGAGTTGGGGTGTGGGCTTCTCTTTACTCATAAGAGGGTACAAGGGCCAGAGTGATAGTCCAGAGGGGAGGGTGTTTGCCTTGCACGCAGCCGACCTGGGTTCAGCAGCCCATATGATCCCCCAAGCTCTGCCAGGAGTAATTCCCGAGTGCAGAGCCAGGAGGAAACCCCGGAGCATTGCTGGATGTGATACAAAAAGCAAAAAACAAACAAACATAAAAAAAGGGTATGAGAGACAGACAGACAGACAGAGACAGAGAGACAGAGAGACAGAGAGACAGAGACAGAGAGATGCAGTGAAACACAGGAAGAGGAGAAAGAGGGAAGGTAGAGAGGAGAAGCAGAGAGGGAAAAAGAGAGGGAGAGAGGGGAAGAGAGGGAGAGAGAGAGGGAGAGAAGGAGAGGGAGGAAGAGAGAGGGGGAGAGAGAGAAAGAGAGAGAGGAGAGTGATAGAGAAGAGGGAGAGGAAGGAGAGAGGGGGAGAGAAAGGGAGAAAGAGGGAGAGTGAATGAGAGAGCAAAGGAGAGAGAGAGGGAGAGAGGATCTGAAAATCTGAAACTCACAGGTCTTCTGAACCAGCAGGTCAGACTGCTTCAAAGACCTGTTTTTCCATTCTGAAATTTCCTCTTTTAAGGACAATGGCAGGAAGGGGTTTAAGCTGCAGCCCAGGGTCTAGGGACTCTGTCGGAACAGCTCTCCTGGGCCGCTCATGAAAAGTCCCTCCAGCCCACACCTAACTTAGATTCAAAGCTGTGAATGTTTAATGAGCTTCTACTATAGGGCAACCAGAGCTGGCACAGAGGGAAGAACAGGCCTGGAGGCTGAACCGTGTGAGCAATCAGCCCAGAGCAGCGGGGAGGCCTGGACGAGGGAGGGGGGAGGCCCCTGCTAGTCCCTAGTCCTCCCAAAGTGCCTGAGAGTCCTGAAATATGGGCCGCATTGCCGCTGGCAGACTCCCTGAAGTGAAACCTCCATCTCCCTTGCACGCAGATTCCTGCTGCCCAGGGCAGTCGTCGCAAGGAATGAAAGTCCATTTTGGGGGCTGGAGCGATAGCACAGTGGGAAGGGCATTTGCCTTGCAGGTGGCTGACCCGAGTTTGATTCCCAGTATCCCATATGGGCCCCTGAGCACCGCCAGGAGTGATTCCTGAGTTCAGAGCCAGGAGTAACCCCTGAGCACCGCCGGGTGTGACCCAAAAAGCAAAAATAAAAATAAAAAAAAAAAGAAAGAAAGAAAGTCCATTTTCCCACGTGAGGTTTGAGTTCTGACCAGCGCCACCATGCACACTCGGCTGGTGAGGGAATATTCAGTGAGCCAGGAAGTTCTTCCCACGGCCGAGGCTCACGGATTGGCAAAGCACAGTTCTGTCTTCTTACCCCTGAACTGCCATGGCCCATTTACCTTGGGCGGGTATGAAACCTCACTCCTGATTTGTTCCTGGCCCCCCTAGAGAAGCAAACCTGACTTAATTCCATGGAATAGGCGCGTGTCTGTGTGCAGTATTTGAGCTAATCCAGGATTCTGAGATACACAAGACGAAAGGAGACTTAAGACATACACTGTTTTCTAGGTCACGTCTTGGTAAATATTTTACTGAACTATATTGCTGCTTATACTTTGTCATACTTCATTTCAGAAACTCCACGGTATTTTAAACAATCTTAGTTATCAGCCCAAAGGAATTGACGGAGCAGAGGTCAACAGCACCCACCTTGCAAGCTTATGGTCATGAGTTCGATCCCCAGTTTCCCACATGTGCCGTTCTGATTCTCCTGTTGGTGACCACTGGTGCTGTGGTTTCTGGCTATGTCACACCCAGCTGAGTGTGAACTACGCAACACAGGCACAACCAGCCTCTGGGAGCATCCCAACCAATGATGCACAGGCTCAGAGCCAGAAGAGAGAACCCTGGTGCACGCGTGTGTGAACACTGAAGTTGGCCCCGGGGGCCCCAGAACCAAGACCTGGGCCTCAGCGGGCATGTGTGTGAGCATCTCACCAAAAGGGCTGCGACAGTTCAGACAGCACCACAGTCTGATATGAGCCCCCCCACCCCTGCAGGACTGACATGGCCAGGTGTGGGTATAACCCCCAGCCGTGACCTCACAACAAAGGGAGAAAGAAAGAAAGAGAGAAAGAAAGAAAAAGAAAGAAAGAAAGAAAGAAAGAAGAGAGGGAGGGAGAAAGGAAGGGAGGGAGGGGAGGGAGGAAAGAAGGAAGGAGGGATGGAAAGAAGGAAGGATAGAAGGAAGGAAGGAAGGAAGGAAGGAAGGAAGGAAGGAAGAAATGAGGGAGGGAAGGAAGGATGGAAGGAAAGAAGGAAGGAAGGAAGGAAGGAAGGAAGGAAGGAAGGAAGGATGGAAGGAAGGATGGAAGGAAGGATGGAAGGAAGGATGGAAGGAAAGGAAAGGAGGAAGGAAGGAAGGAAGGAAGGAAGGAAGGAAGGAAGGAATGAAGGAAGGAAGGAAGGAAGGAAGGAAGGAAGAAATGAATGAAGGAGGGAGGGAAGGAAGAAAGGGTGGAGGGAAGGAGGGAGGGAAGGAAGGAAGAAGAAAGAAGGAAAGAAAGCTGTGAGGGGGAAGGAAGACAATCTGGAGACAGCAAGTGAGTCATTTTAGTCTCGTAATGGGACCCACCTTGCCAGGGCAAAAGCGTCATCAATTAGACTCGCACGGTCAGAGGCAGAAAAATCCTGGGAAGCAGAAGAAAAAGAAGAATCAAATGTAAGGCAAGACGTGGTGGGAAAATGCACACAGAGCAGCTCTGCTCTGAGACAAGGCGACCGTCCGTGCTTACCTGTTTGTGGTTGTTGGAAAGATTCTTAGCTATCTCAGTCCAGACATTTACTTCGTAATTGACCCGGTAAAACCCTATGTGATCTGGGTTAACTTTGAGAAAAGTGTTTCCAACAGCACCCAAAGTGATTCCTGCGGTAAGAAAGAAACATTAATGAGAAAAAAGTTTGTGTGTCCTGTAAACAGAGAGTTTAGACCCAGAATGTGGAAAGGGAGGGAGACAGGCAGGGCCCAGGGAGCCATGCCAGGCTTGGGGCCCAAGGCCGGAAGTCTAACTCTCATTCAGCCGCCCCTGCTCTGGGATGGCATTGCTGCAGTCGTCAGCCTATAAAAGAAATGCCAGGTCAGTGAGGGACCATAATCAGCGACTCTGCCACTGAGTGGCATGAGCTTGCCAAGTGCGTGAATTATTTCTGTGCTTGTCAAAGGAAACAGCACTGAGAGTCAGGGAAGTCCGGGCTTCTGGGGGTCCTCCTCCTTTTCCTAATCAGGATAAATTCATCACACAGACTATTCTCAGCGGCAGTGCGGGAGGGAATACGAATGTAAATACTTAAAAGAACGCCTTGTTTATTAAAATCAACATTCAAATTCATGGGATACAGTTATTGCCAAGCAGAACAATGATCTGAGGATGGGTAATGCTTTTAAGATGTCAAGAAGGCTTGCAACAGAAACTGGAACCCAAACATAACATTCTTGATTTTGTAATCCATTTCATACTTGCTTCCCCAATTCTATTTACCTTTGCAAAGTCTTCTGTTTCCTCATTTCAATTGATTACATCAATGGGTTTTCATCGAGGGATTTACCAAATTAACTCACTTTTCTGAAGCAGCATCCAATATTTACAAAGAGCTCTAGCGCATAGATTTTAGAACCTCACCCTTGACGGAACAGGGACTGATGTTTTAGGTTAAACAAAGAAAAATAAAAAGCTCACTGAAAATAACCACTCTGCCCAGACATGAACCATATTTGTTGGCACCAATCCTAAAACTTTTTTTTTGGTGGGGGGGGGGGGGGGGGAATCATTCCTGGCAGTGCTGGGGGTGGGACCGAACTCAGAACCTCACACACGCCAGGTGTGTGTGCTGCCTGCCCTCGGAGCCACAATGCCAGCCTCTCCTATAACGTTGTATTCCTGGACTCAGTTGCATGGATGATGCCCAACTTAAATAACGCATGGGAAGACTTGGTGGCATCGAGGAATCACGTGCTGTTGTGCTAGCTCAGACCGCGATGTCAGGAAAATGGGAGATGAGATGGGAACCCACGGCAGGTTCGTGTGCGTGCATGTGTGTGTGTGTGTGTGTGTGTGTGTGAGAGAGAGAGAGAGAGAGAGAGAGAGAGAGAGAGAGAGAGAGAGAGAGAGACAGAGAGAGAGAACGCCACCAGGGGTCTGGGTGGTGCTGGGGAAGGGGGTGGTCACGTTGCCAGTAGCAACCTCAGGCCAGACAGGATGAGGGCTGACACCAAGGCAGAGAAGGAGAGAATGGATGTGATGGAGGGAGACAATTGGCAGGTGAAGGGGGCACAGTCCTTGTGACGAGGATGTGGGTCAGAGGGTTTGCATGACAGCTTGAATGAAGGTGGGACAGGGAGAAAAGAGGAAGGGGAGACCCTCCGGGAGGAAAGACCATGGAGATTTTGGATTTGTTCGCCAGGGCTGGATGATGCCCAGAACATGGTAGTTTTGCATATACAAGCTAAGCCCTGCGGCAGGACAACGAGCATCTTTTGGGACTCTCTGAGGGGGCACTTGACGAATGATAAACCTTTACCTCACTCACGTAGTATTTCTCTTTCTCTGTCACTCTCCCATGGACAGGTTGTTGAAAGGACGCTAATCTTTTGGCACCTGCAGCTCTGGGATGTCTGTCTCAGAGGGAGAGTCCCTGGCCCAAGCACGGTGCCCCCCGTTAGAGGAGTGAGAGCAGGGACTCACAAGCCTGTCAGATCAGGCAAAACATCCTCGCCCTGTGGCTTCCAAGCTGTGGCGTCTCAGCCAGGTCTGGTCCCTGAGGTCCCTGTGTCGGGGTTCGCAGGGGGCGAGTGAACTACCATTCTCTGCAGGGGCCCTGTGATCCACGACTCAGGGGAGGTGCTGGTTCTGTGTCCGACAGATGGTAGCTCTCCGTGCTATGATGAAAGCATTTGGTCCTGGCTCTATAAATAGTACAGAAAATATAAATATAGCGTGGGGAAGCTCCTGGCAGTTTGTCCAAAGACTGGGATATTTTAGTGCGTTATATGGGCCTGGCTGAGCTGGTCTCGGCTCCCTGGGATTTCTCCGGCGTGATGGATGAGAAGTCAGCAGCCCAATATGGGCCAGTGACAGGCTTGTTTCCCCAGCAGTCGGCAACAGCAAAGCAGGACTGGGCTGTCTATGCGTGATGAAGTCAGACTAAAGCACGGATGCCGCAGCCGGGGGCACTGGCCCGGGCAAGGGAAAGGCACTGGACTCTCCTCCTGCCGATTATCATTCTGGTTGTCACAGTGGTAGGTGTCCTTGGGGGTCCCACACCTGTGTCTGGGGGACATGGGAGAAATCGTGGGACCCATCCCAGTAACATCCTGTTTCTCTCCTCTGTGTGTGTTTGCCTTGTGATCATGCATGTACGGACACATGATGCTCATAAAGCTTACTATTTCCAGGATTCATCATCCTTTCTTTTCATTTGAAAACAGACCGTAAGCACCTTTTGCCATCCTATTTTACAGATATAAAAATGTAAATTTAAGTGGCCACATAGCACCCCAACACTCATTCTGTAAATTTAACCATTTATCTTGCTAGTTTTATGCATACAAGTATTAAATTCTTCTGGGTAGGACTCTTTAGAGAGAATTCTTATTCCCCTCTTTCTATTATTTACTTATCAATACAGATAATATTGATAATTACTTTTTCAAAATTTCATCCAGGGAATATTTAATGTCAACCAAAATAGATTTAAGTGATAGAGTATAGGAAACAGCTTTTTATGGTACTGTTTTATGTAAATAATTTATAAAAAAAACTTTAGACAACTTGACAGTTTGATAACTCAAGATTCCTAGAAAAACATTTTTTCTCTGGTGATATACATACTGTTACCATCAATACTTTAAGAAAATTATTTTTCAATGCAAAATGAAAGAATCTGTATCTTATTAAGTATTTTACATAACTAAATAGTAAAATGACAAGAAGATACAAGAGTTGTGTATCTTAGGCTAATGACACACAAACTGGAGAATCCAAATTCCATTCATTCCAAGGAATATATGCTGGCAGAACCTGAGAGTAAGAAACTGTCGGCCTCCGGGGCTGGCGGGAGTGGCAGGGACCTCATGGGAAGGGGGGCTTTGTGGGCCGTCCCCCACGCCCCACCGAGGTCGCCAGCTGCCCCCCACGAGCGGCTCTCCGGCACGGCCACGACTCCAGGGCACAGAAACCAATCTCTTAACTAGCTAACTTTTAATAGAAATTCTTCCAGGGTCAATAAGTAAAATAGCAGAAATTCAAAACCGCGCGGCCGCTATTGCGGCCGTGAGACATCATTTTATTCTTAAACCAAGTTGTAGAAAGCAAATCATTTCACAACGCTGTTTCAGCATGTCTGATTGTGGGGGGTGGGTCGTAAACTCTAAACAATAATTGTGCATCTTCTATCGAAATAATCTATCTAGTCAAAGTAGATAGAGTATTAACTAGAACTTATCTGCCTCACAAGAATTGGGAGGGGTGGGAGGTGGGGGTCTAGTGGGGTTCGGGGTTAAAAATAAGTATTTGTAAAGGGAAATGTGTTTGATATCTACATGACTGAGACCTAAACCCGAAAGCTCTGTAACTTTTCCCACGGTGAATCAATAAATAAATAAATTATAAAAAAAAATAAAAAAAAAAGAAACTGTCGGCCTCAGTCTGAAAGAATAAAAAAAAGTCTCTCTGTTCCTTAGATATTTTATAAAACATATATCCAGCATTGTTTGATATAGAGTATTTAAATATAATTTTTACCAAATATTAGTAATAATGCAAGTTCTATGACAGCCAGAATTTGCTCACCTACGCCATCAAGAATGCAGCCTCAAATCTGAAACAGCCGAGTCTCAAACATTTCTGGTGCTATACGATGTGGCCCCCGTACAAAACAAAACAGCTACGCTCGAGAACACAAGGGTGCCTATGAGGGGTCGGGTACTTGGAGGACCACGCTGGGCTGGGGATTAAACCCCGGGCACCCCGCATGTGAAGTGTGTGCTCCAGTCATGGAACCATTTCCCGGGCCAGGTAAGCCTCGTTTAAAACACTGTTCTTCAATCAGATCGATAACCTGACAGCATGTCCAATCCTTCCATTCTTGAACGCAAGGAACAGAAAAGCAAATAGTAAAGCAAGCACTGCTAAATGCTGAGGTGCTGACAGCGGTCCAATAAATAACAGACGAACCCCCAGAGAAACATGGGACACACGCAGGTGAACGCCGAAACCTCCTCAAGCACTTGGTACTCTTGAGCTCAGTATGCCCGAGGCTGTCCTGGGGGTGGCCCAGGGCCAGTTGCGAGACGGCATGTTTAAGCCTTCAAGGAGTTTATCATTTTGTTGGAAAGAAGGCAAGAGAGCGTACAGGAAGCCTATGGAGCAAATAGGATGCTGGAGGGAAAATCACACCCTAGGGACGAGGAAAACAGCCAGCGGCCTAAGTCAGCTGCAGAGTGAGAGGAGGGGCTAGAGGAGCTGCCCCCTGTCCCGAGAGTCACACAGGGTCTTCACAGTCTAAGGGAAGGGTGGAACACAGGAGGCCAGGGGAAGTTTCTAACGGGTGAATCATCAAAGGAGGGAGGTGGTGCATGGCTGCCTAGGCTGACTGCTCCAGGGACGTGTCTGTCATCCGTGTGCGAAACTGAGCGCTCAAGATGTCCCGGAACAGGAAACAGGAACTTACTCGAGAGCCCCCAAATGGAGCAGGCCCTTGGAAACAGCCAGATGAGCCCTTGCTTCTGATGCAGGAGCCAGTCCTGAGCCTGGGGTCTGCGGCCCAGAGCCTCTGCATGAAAGCGGGCATGCATGCATGCACGCGTGCAACAATTACTGGGTCTCCTGTTAGAGATACATACATGTGTGACACCCACATGCATGCAGATGTGCGACCATGACCGGGCCTCCTGCTGTGTTACATTCGCCTCGTCCACTGCCACCAGCCTGAGAGCCCTTCACCAAGGCCCAGCCGCAGAGGAGGGGACAGAAGTCAGAGTTCAGGGAGAGGAAAGCAAGTGTCTTGGGTGCCGGGGAGACCCTCCTGCTTCCAGGCCATTCACAGGCACTGGGGTGTGGACAGAGTCCTCGTTTCCCCTTTGCTGCTCTCGGCCTCAGTGACCTGGCTTGGAACTCTCCCTCTCCCTGACGGGACCCGGCCCTGTGGCAGGGTGGCTGCTTCTCTGGGACGGGGTGGGGGTGGGGGGGCACCCCTGGCTGTGATGTGCTCCTGAACAGCATCAGATGGAAGGGGCAGGACCCCTCAGGACCCGCTGACTCATTAGTGATTACCGGGAGCCTGGTTCCAAGCCTTCATATTCTCACTCAAACACTAATTCAGGCCGCCCCAGGCCCGGCCATTTGAGGCTCTTGAGGTTCGATCCTTGAGGCTTATTTCAGCTGGCAGGGAGAGTGCTGGGGAAAGACAGACTGGGTGCAGCATGGGGTCTCCGAGCAGGGAAGGACCAGCCAAGCAGACCTCACTGTCCTCCAGCCCTCGAGGGGTTGTGGGGGGCGTGGAGAAAGGGCAGGGCAAGGCAGCTGCTCTGAGACCTTCCCCCTCGGAGCCCTGTACCCTTGGAGAGAGGGGCTGTTCCTGAGGGGGGCTCGGGAGGCCCAAGGCCCCTCCCGGTGGCTCAGTGCGAGGGCCGAGTATAAGGTGCAGCCCCTGCATCCCCAGGCTGTGAGAGGGTCAGGTGGGCTCTCGGCTCACACCCAGTGAAGCTCAGGGGATGGCAGGTGCAGGGATCCAACCAGGGTTGGCCACGTGCAAGGCAGCCCCTTGGCCCAGACTCTCTCTCTCTCCAGGCCTTCCTTATGCCCTTTATTGCTGCCGTGGCTTATTTTTAACCCTTGTGGTGTTTTGTTTTTTGGTTTTTTGATTTTGGTTTTGGAGTCACGCCCGGCGATGCTGTGGGGTTATTCTTGGCTCTGCACTCAGGAATCAATCCTGGCGGTGTGTGGGGAACCACATGGGATGCCAGGGATTAAACCCGGGTCAGCGCATGCAAGGCAAACACCTGCCCTGCGGTGCTATCGCTCCAGTCCCCGTGGCAGTTTCCTTTTGTTCTCTGTTTTCTCTTGGTAAATGCACTGAGGAGGAGGAAAACAGTTGGGAGACGGGACCCCTGAAGTAAGACCTTCGCACTGCAAGTTATATACAAGCCCAATGTACATGCATTCTCGGAATCCACGATACAAGTCTGGGGGGTCTGATCAGAACTCGGGATAATCACTAAGGCACTTGTGCACAGGTGAGCAAGGGGGAGTGTTATTGGAAAAGCAACGGAAAGAGGCCTGACCTCCACAGAGCAGAGCTGCTGAACATACACACACAGCGTTAAATCATGCAGGAGCATCAGAGAAAAGCTGCAAACCTCAAAGACAGGACAGGGAAAATATATCATTGGGACAAAGCCTGGCGACTTTCCTCCTGCCCCAAGTCCATCCCGGGTGAGTGGAAACGGCCAGCAGCGGCCTCTGTGGGTGCAACTGGCCCAGGAGAGGGACGTCTTGAGCAAGCCACGGTATGGCTGTCACCTTAACGCATGCAGGAGAGGCCACTTCTGGCCGGGGACGAGGCTCTGAGCAGGAGGGTTCATGTGCTGGGGGCCCTGTGGGAATCGGCTACTTGCATTCCCAGAAGTCACAGTGCTATGTCCAGGCAGGCGGAACCTTGCGGAGCTGAAGACAAAGGCCCTGGGGTGTGGGGTAAAGAAGGGCCTTCTCTGTCTGGGGAAGAAAGTAGGATGCTTGGGGAATGGGTGCAGAGACCTTATTGCCCTCTCAGAAGGCTGTGGGGGTCCGACTCTCTGTTTTCAAAATGTATTTACTAGGGGCTGGAGCGATAGCACAGTGGGTAGGGCATTTGCCTTGCACACAGCTGACTCAGGTTCGATTCCCAGCATCCCATATGGTCCCCTGGGCACCATCAGGAGTAATTCCTGAGCGCAGAGCAAGGCGTGATCCCTGAGCATCACCAAAATAGCAAAAAAAAAAAATCATTTACTATAGGGGCCGGAGTAACAGGACAGCGGGTAGGGTATTTGCCTTGTGGTGTTCCACGCTGACCCAGTTTCCCCGGCATCCCACATGGTCCCCTGAGCACCACCAGGAGTAATTCCTGAGCACAGAGCCGGGAGTCACCCCTAAGCACTGAGTACTGCAAAAAAAATCCCCCAAAATAAACAAAATCAACAAAATGAATTTTCCTTGTATTTCCTTTCATTGGGGCTGGAGTGATAGCACAGTGGTAGGGCGTTTGCTTTGCGCGCAGCCGACCCAGCCAAGCCTGATTCAATTCCTCCACCCCTCTCGGAAATCCCGGCAAGCTACCGAGAGTATCTCACCCCCACGGCAAAGCCTGGCAAGCTACCTGTGATGTATTCAGTATGCCAAACACAGTAACAACGAGTCTCACGATGGAGACGTTACTGGGCCCGCTTGAGCAAAATCGTTGAATAACGGGAGCACTGTGCTGTGTTCCTTTCATTGCTGTGGAGGCCGTGGACCACCCGAACAACATGTTGGGGGGGGCGGTTCTGGGAACTAACAAGGCATCCGCTCTGCCACTTGAGCCATAGACCCAAACTCGCCTGTTTTTTTTTTTTATACAACTAAGATTTTTCAAAACAGGAGAAGACAGATCAATGGCACGAAATCAGAAATACATCGGCAAAGCCGCCACTCAGTTTTAACAGGATCAGGCGATGGGAATGTCATGTTGGATGGAGAGGGGGTAGCTTATGACTCAGGGAAGATAATCGGAGTTACTAACGACTCTAACGTCACGCCAAATTGGGGGGTGGGGGGGAGTGACAATACCTGGGGGCAGAGAGATCAGGCCCCAGATGTTCATCTCATACGCGGCCAACCTGGGCTGGAACCCAGCATCACACATGGTCCCCTGAGCCCACCAGGAGTAAGTCCCAAGCACCAGGGGGTGCACCCCCGCCCCGAACAAAGCAAAGTGAATTTCATGAGTGTGTTTCAGATATCTGGCTTGTCACGTAACATTGTGAGAAATATGATGGCCTACTTCTCTGATATCCAGGGATAAAGAAAGAAGGAATGGAGGAAGTGAGGGAAGGAGGAAGAGAGATGGAGAAAGAACAGAGGAAAACTACATATTAATCTCTCCCAGTTGGTCCCATGACCTCTCCACGTGGAGAAGGCTATTTATTTATTATCATGTCAATCATCATCAATCATTAAAAAGGCAGCAAAGCTCCCATTATTGAAGCTGGAGATTTGGGCTCATCAATGATTTCATCAGTAAATGATTTGGGAAATCTCTTTAGGCCAAAATTCATATACTAAATCCCGGCTTTGTTTCCATATGCTTAATTTAATGTAGTACATTCATTCAAAGAAGAAATAATTGATGATATTTACCTCCTGTTTGTGACCTATTGTAGAGTTGGATGTTTGGCTTTTTATCTTCACTCCATTTAACTGGAATATTCCATGTGTAACTAAAGTTTATACAAAAGAAAAATTTACCTTTTATTACTAAGAGCAATAAACCATTTTCAAAAGTGAAAATAATATCAAAGCAAATTGGCAACACCCTTCCCTTCTAGGGGCTCATGGGGTGGACAGCGTGCCTTAACACAGTGAACACAGCACTCCCTGTGGAACTGCCCCTCTACTCCCACACTTCTCTACAGTTTGAGACTCTGTGTCTGGGGCCAGAGACAGCACAGCGGGGAGTATATTTGCCTTGCACCTTGGTTCAATCCCCGGCATCCCCTAGGGTCCCCTGAGCACCACCAGGAGTAGTCCCTGAATGCAGAGCCAGGAGGAACCCCTGAGCACCGCCAGGTGTGACCCTGAAAAACAGCAACAACAACCACAAACAGGTTTGTGTCCAAAACCTCAGAGAAGGATGGAGCTGATCTCAGCCATGCTCTGAGGCTTTGAAACAAACATCTCACATAACTGAGCGCATGGCTGCTGACGCTGAGCAACCCCCACATTCTTCCACACACCCCCACGGGTGGCGGTTTCCACCCAGGAACCCAGGGCACGTGTGGAAATAACTCAGAGGGCAGAGTCCTTCCCCGCCGCCGCTGGTCAGCCCCCTGCTCTCTGCGCAGACCCACGGCGCCAGTCCGTGACAGGGGAAGCCACCAGGCAAGTGTGTTCAGGTTTTATTTTCGCTGTCCCACCCCCTTCAGTGGGTTTCTGTGAGCTCACATCCTGCCACTGTGGGGTCTGGGGCTACAAAACAGTGTCGCCTCATCCTTGAATCTTTTGCTCCCCCGAGACTCGGACAGCTCCGAGCAGTGCTCTGGAATGGGTGCTGGTGATATGCGCATGTCCCCTCTCCTCAGCCCAGAGGCCTTTGGGAGGGGACAGCAGTACGCGCGCACATGTGTGCACGGAGCCTGGGATCAGCCCGGCCCTGGAAAGTGAAATGTCCACTGCGCACCCGGTGGGTGGGGCCGGACACTGCCCCCAGTGACCTTCAGCAGGCTGGGGGTGCAGGGAGAGGAGTCACCAATCCCTTAGCAGCGCATAAATGCATGCAACGCCTGAACGTGTGGGACCGGGGGTTGGCTCTGGGCTTCCCACATTCAAAGCAAGAGCCCTGCCCCAGGGTCCCCTCTGGACGCCAGGGATGTGTTTGGTGAAACCAAAGATAACGGAGGCTCTCTGTGGACAGAACGTCTTTCCTCTCTCAGGAGCCATCACTGAAATTCGGCCAGTGCTGTTAGCAGAGACATGTTTCCTAAGGGCAGTGTTTGTTTCTTTGTGTGGGAGGCACACCCGGCAGTGCCCTGGCTTACTCCTGGCTTTGTGCCCAGGGATTCCTCCTGGTGGGGCTCGGGTGACCATGGAGGAGTGTTGGTAGCACCTGGACTCCCTTCCTACCCTTCAGGCTTTCTAAATTTCTCTTCCTCTGCCCGTGCAACATTTCCATGAGCAGATTGATAGGGATGATAAACAAGCGCTAAAACTCCTACATCTGTGAATCCAAATAAAACGAAAATATTTTTGATGGAAGAAATTAAGATTTCTTATTTTCAGGCCAGGATCAGCCCTGGTCATGCTAGGGGTCCACCTGGAGCGCTGGGGATCAAGTCCAGCCTGGGTGCATGCAAAAGACAACAAACAGCCCACTCCACCCCACTGTGTGGTCTCTTCAGCCCCTAAATACAGGAATTAATTAATTAATTAACATGACATGAGGGCGATTCATTTATATTCCCTTCTCTTCCACTCCCACATTTGTCAACATTCAACGACATTTAATGATCTCTCTCTCTCTCTCTCTCTCTCTCTCTCTCTCTCTCTCTCTCTTTTCCTCCCTCTCTCCCTCCCTCCCTCCCTCCCTCATATGGAAATAGAGGAGGGGCAACTATTCTTACTCTTCTTGCATGCAGGGTGCCAATGAGAAGCTGAGTGCCCTGCTAACCTGTGCCTCTGGGTTTTCTGAAATGTCACAAGGAGTCCCCAAGTACGCCTCTGGCTTTCCCCGCTGTGGGAGTGCTTGGGGGAGAGTCGAGCCCCTGAGCTGGGGCTTGGCAGGATCTGCCCCGCATAGTTATTTTTCTCCCCTGAAAGTCTCCTGCCATCCGGCCGCTAGGCCTTCCATCCTTGCCTTCTCTTCCAGGTTTGCCAACTCGAGGTTTATTTGTGCTCTGATTTTTTAAAATTATTTTTTAATTTGCCTTATTGCTTTGTAGTTTTAGAGCACGGCCCCCAATTTATTTGCAGTTGGCCTGTCAAATGCTTCGGACAGCCCGGAAAGTCGGCTTCTCCAGTCCTTTTGTATTGTTTGTTCTTTCAAAGACTTTCTGGTCTGAGTTCATGGGCAGCTTTGATCTCAGAATGTGTTTCATAAACTTATTTTCCATTTCCTCAATTATGGCCCTTCTCGGGACAGGTCTTGGCTTGGTTCGAGAGAGAGTTTTACCTCTTACGCTTTTGGATTCTCCCCCCCTCCCCCCCCCCCCCCCCCCGAGTCCTGTGATCCTTGATTACCCATTCATGGGTGAGAAAGCAGGGACTAAATCCATTCTCCTTGGTGGCTTTGGGGCAGTGCCTAACTGCTGAGAAGGGCCGAGTTGGCGTGACCGTCCCCTCCCTGTGACAGGAAATCGGGAGGCTGGTCCACCCAACACCAGTGCCAAGGCCACTTTCCTCTGGGCATCCCCACCAGCCCCTCCGCTTACTGCCATCACTGTAGCCCATTTCTGCAGATGGAATGGCGGGAGGTGAAAGGAGGGGGGACAGGGTGGGTGCAGGCCAGTGATGAGCACCAGAACCCCCTCCAGGCCTGCCTAGGGACGGAAAGGGCCACGTCCCCCTGTGCCTCTCTCCTAGTGCCATCTCCCCCGGAGTCTCCCCCAGTATCTCCCTTTCTGCTTTGCCCCAGAATCCACAACGCCAGGGCCCCGCCTTCTGCTTGGGAGTTGGCGTCTTTGACTTCCATCGCCTCCCTCCAGTTCCTGGAAGGAATGGGATCCACATGCATGCACGCATGCACCCACTTATGCATGCACCCACGTACACATGCACACATACACTCACATGCATGCACACATGCACACATGTGCACACACAAACATACACATGCACAATACACACGCATGCACATACGTATGCACACACCTGCATGTACACACCCACATACACATGCATATGTACACATGCATGCGGCACATGTACACACATGCACTCAGGCACACACAGGCACACATATACACATGCATTCACACACATGCACACACATGCACACACATGCACACATGTGCACACACAAACATACACACACATGCACACACATATGCACACACATGCATGTACACACCCACATACACATGCATGCACACATACACATACACATGTACACATGCATGCGCACATGTACACACATGCACCCATGCACACACAGGCACACATATACACATGCATTCACACACATGCACACACATGCTCACATGCACACATACATGCAAGCACACACACTGGCCATTGCTTTTCCCCCAAGCTGCCTATCCATATGTACCATGGCAGGAGCTGGGCCACTGACCAGCTTTCCAGGCATATTTCTACCTTGCCCCTCCCTGCATCAGAGAGACTTACCCAAGAGTCGAAGGGGGCTGGGTGGGATCAGCTTTGGAGTCCAAGAGAAAGCGCGACTGTGTGGCAGTCTTGCCCTTCATGGTAAGCACAGGGTAGCCCATCTGACTGGTCCACGTGTCCATCACTACCTTCACGGGCTTGCCACTTGCCTAAGAGTTTGGATTTTTAGGAAACAGAAGGTGCAATCGATAAATGGAGGGATAGAATAATCAATAGAGGAACAGAAGGGTAGGGTAATCAATAGAGAAATGGCTGCAGTGACCTGGATGGGTCCGCAGGGCCCCTGCTCAGGGGCAGACACAGAACCATCTTCCTCATATGGCACACAAAGTAATGTGGCAGGGGACAACAGGTGCCTAAAAGGTGACAGGAACTGAGAACTGGTCTTTAACAGGAAACATCACTGTGGGGGGAAGGAGGAAGGAGACATCGGGACAATGGTGGCACTGGTGGTGATGGTGAGGGAAGTGTTGATATATATATATATATTTTTTTTTGCATGAAACCCTGCCACCTGCCATTATCAACACTGTCGACCATGGCACCTAGAATATACTTTACAATAAATTATACAGAAAGCGTTAAAAGAAAGGATTGGGAAGTCCACTGCAAATCAGACAAGTATTTGAAACTGTGCTTTTTCTTACCTCTTCAAGGGCCGCCCAAAAATCAGAAGTTTTAGCGTTCTGAAACTGGTATTTTTTTAAGTAAATCTGTAGGAGCGAGGAAGCAGATGTGTTAGAAGCCGGTGTTCTCTCATAGACCCCATCAGGAGCTAAGCTCCTAGTCACATTTACTCTGATGTACAGAGCAGCAATTCCACCCAGAACAAAAGGAAATTATATGCTTTGCACGGTCACGGTCACAGTCCTCCCGTTGTTCATTGATTTGCTCGAATGGGCACAGCAAATAATAATTGGTAAAGCACAAGTAACGTTTTCCCTACTAACCAGGTAGGTTTTTCTCTCCCTCCATTGGGAGCCCATTTATTTTTTCAGGACAATCAATATAAGCTATGGGTATCTAAGGATTTGGGGTCACATCCAGTGGTGCTGGAGGAGCAGAGGGAGCCAGGGATAGATTCTGGGCCTCCTGCAAAGACTGCAAAGGTGCAGTCTGTTTTCCAGCTATCTGTACTATCTCCTTGGCCGCGTGCGTGTGTTTTTGCTCCACTGGGTAGAGACATCTGCAGTTCCCTGACCGGCACTGCCGTGACAGTGAGTTCCCTGTTCACCGCATCCCGTCCCTTTCTTCCTGGTGCTGTTTCTCATTTCAGACACGGATGACCCCATCACACACGAGTGGTCCAGGTGAGAAGCAAAGGTCAACACAGCCGAGTGTGGCGTATGTCAGTGCTTAGCAAATGTTTCCTATAAAAACTCGGTGGGGCCAGAGAGCTCAATGGGTAGAGCAGAGCTCAGTGGGAGCCCCTTCCCACCCTGCACTTCCCCGAGTGCAGGGCTGGGAGCAGCTCCAAGGCACCTTTTGTGAGTGAGTCCCCCCAGATAAAAGAATAATTTTTCCAGTTTTGAATTTTAGGCTTGTGGGCCATATCCTGAGGTGCTTGGGGCCATTCTTGGAGGGGACTGACCACCTGGACCCTCAGAGCGAGTGCTCCAGCCAGGATGTTAAGCTGGAGATGGGTTCACTGGGAGATTCCTACATCAAGTCGCTCTTCTCTCTCTCTCTCTCTCTCTCTCTCTCTTTCTCTCTCGCTTGCTGGGTTGCTGGGTTTCACATAAATACTCAATGATATATTTCCGTAGAAGACCCCCCCCGCCATGTCCTAATCTCAGGTGTGAAAGTCACCTGCTTTTCTGGGGCTCTATGCAGAGTTCCTGCTGTCCCCTGCTCTTATTCCCTTACAACGGTCTGCTTTGAAATGTGGGAGTCTTCAACAGAAATAGAATCTAGAATATTCTCTCTCTCTCTCTCTCTCTCTCTCTCTCTCTCTCTCTCTCTCTCATACACACACACAAACTCTCTCTCAGGGGACGGGGAGTAGAGGTGCACATGTGGCAGTGCTCAGGCCTGACTCCTGACTCTGTGCTCAAGGATCACTCCTGGCGGTGCTCTGTGATCAAACCCTGGTTAGCTGTGTGCAAGGTGAATGCTCTAGCATCCGTACGACAGCTCCAAGCCCTTGAATAGAATCGTAAGTGCCCCGTGAGCCATCAGACAGACCAGCCAGTGGTAGGCAGTTCCAACTGTTCTGCCATGCAGCGTGACTCACCCGTGTCTTGGGACCTCTGAGTCCTGAAGACTCTGGGCCCTTGGGAAGAGCCAGGCCTGGGAACAACAGACTCTGGTTTCCGCCCTTGCTCAACACTGCCACCAGGGGGCAGTGCGGCAGGGTTCACCACAACGCCTGCCTGCTCAGGGGCTTGGTGGGCCCCTGGGGAGGTTCCTTGCATTGCCACAACGAGGCTAAACCTACGTTCACAGGAAACAGCCTTCTGTCCCCGTCATTGGTGGCTCTGAGTAGCCTCCAGAAAGGACATGAATTTCCGCCATGCGGTCACATCAGTGGTGAGTTCCTGCTGACTGGGGCCCACCACCCGCCCTGGTTGGCTGGCATGGGCATGCAGGGGTCTCCGTGGGCCCCTTTCCTGCCAGCCTCACCTGTGGGGAGACAGGCCAGGGGTGGCCCCCCAGATTGAATCAACACCAGGCCCCCGTCCCATCACCCTGCACACACACAACCACAAAGACGTCCCAGGGCCCTGACAGAGGCCACGAGGCCGAGCCCAGTGTTCAGAGAGCCCCGAGCTGGACTCCGGGCACCTGAATCCGGAGGGCTGCTCCAGGGACCCTGACTACCCCAGACTGAGCTCTGCGGGGGGGGGGGGGGGGGGGGGGGAGGCTACCCTGTTTTTAAGATCATCATAACAGCAGTAGGGCATTTGCCTTGCGTGCAGCTGGCCTGGCTGAGCCAGGTTCGATTCCTCTGCCCTCTCAGAGAGCCCGGCAAGCTACCGAGAGTATCTCGCCTGCACTGCAAAGCCTGTCAAGCTACCATGCTGTATTCAATATGCCAAACACAGTAACAACAAGTCTCACGATGGAGACGTTACTGGGCCCGCTCGGAGCAAATCGATGAACAATGGGAGGACAGTGCTACATAACACCTCAACTGATGGCTCTGCTTCTGTTTCCCCCCAGATCTGGAGGTGCTTTGCTGCCTGAGCAGCAGGGGACGGCGGGATCTCGTCAATCAAAACATCCCCATGAAACTTCTCCCGAAGGGCACCAACCCTGCCCCGAGAGTGCCCATGCCACTGGTGCCCTACCGCCCATGGGTCCCTTGGGAGGGAGGGAGAGTCTCAGTCAACAGGGACTGTCCCGACTTAAGCCATTTCTCAGCGCTGGCGCGCTGGCGCGCTGGCGCGCTGGCGCGCTGGCGCGCTGGCGCGCTGGCGCTGATGTGAGCCACCACATGCACTTACCTGGCAGCCTTTCTGGAAGTTCTCTGGGGTAATCCAGTCTTCCAGCATCCTGAGGATGGAGGCCCCCTGGGAGGGAAAGCACGGGGAGTGAGGTGGGCGGGCCCGCGGCAGGCGGCCCCGGACAGAGGAGGAGCTCCTTCCTCCGGGACACTGCCATGGCCCGCCGGTGGGCCCAGGAGGCCAGCAGGACATACACCTGCCCAGATGATTCTCGGGGGACGGAGGAGAAAAGGCCGAGCAGGACACAGCACCCAGAGAACTGGGCACAGGACGGAGACTTGGACTCAGCTCTTGGTACCACATGGTCCCTCAAGCACCGAGCCAGGAGTCACCCTGGAGCCCTGCTGGACGTGACTCCAAACCCATTCCCCCCCCCCCCCCCCCACAACAGGAGAGAAATAGGCAGCCGGCATTTGGGGGGCCTGAGTGTCAAACAAGGACTGCACTCTGCACTTCACCCAGTCAGCCAGCAGATGGCGCCTTCCTAACGGAAGAGAGACCAAGGAGGGACATCCCCACAGCAGCTAGCTGCAGGGGAAAATCCTGACTGCTCTCGCTTCTGGCTATTTAGCACACGTCCCAGTACTTGAAAAATTATATATAAGAGCGATAAGTCGAGAAATTTGGAAGGGGGTCAAACAGTTCAACACAGACACATAATTCAGTCATAAAGGAAAGCTGGCTGGAGTGATAGTTCAGCAGGTAGGGTGCTTGCCTCACACGTGGCTGACCCGGGTTTGATCATCGGCATCCCATGTGGTCCCCTGGTCCCCGAGCCCTGTCACGAGTGGTTTTTAGCAGAGCCCAGGGTGATGCTGTGTGTAGCCCCAAACCCAAAACAAACAAACAAAAACCCAGACAAACAAAAAAACCCAAACATGGTTTAACTCCCTCCGTTTTCTTTAGCCTCAAGAAACTGGAGCTATCTCTACTTTCCACCTTTTTTTTTGGGGGGGGGTCACACCTGGCAATGCACAGGGGTTACTCCTGGCTCTGCACTCAGGAATTACTCCTAGCAGTGCTCAGGGGACCATATGGGATGCTGGGAATTGAACCCGGGTTGGCCACGTGCAAGGCAAATGCTCTACCCGCTGTGCTATCGCTTCAGCCCCTACATTCCACCTTCTTTTCACGTGTTATATAACTAGTACTAAAACGCACTACTTGCAAAACTTTAAATCCATTTTTAAGTAAGTGACCTGAAAACACAATGCCTCCCCTTTTAGCTCTTACTGTAACTTAGCAAGCTCCAGACTTTTTTTCCATAGCTAGAAGGTCAAAGGTTTATAAGTGTTCATTTCTGACCTAATACTTTGAATCATAAAATATTCTAGAATTCGGGGGGGGGGGAACCCTCTCTATATATGAAGGAGCGGAATGTGCTGTAAATGCCATTAGAAATGTTCCATTTTAACAGAGAGATAAAAGAGAACCATTAACAGTGTGAAAAATGAGTCACGGCAGTCTGAAACAGCACAGGAGTAATAGGAGGGAGAAAGCAGGAATAATACTACCACATAGCATTGCTTTCCTCCAGCCAATTTATCTCAAGTGTATTTGAATCATCAGAATAGTTTGTCTTAAGTAAAACCTTGACTAACAGAACGCGTTAGTTGGAAGGTGCTGGGCCTCTCCCTATGGCAACCCCCCTGCCCAATCCATGACGAAACGCCCACATCTGGGCACAGGTGGGCCCATCTGTCTAGTGGAGAGACTGGAGGGGGCATGCGGGGGGGTGGAGGAGGGAGACACGTAACAGAACTGTGGGTCCCTGCAGGCTCTCGGCTACGTCTCCTAACATTTGAACGGATTCAAGTCTCAGCTGTGAGTGTGGCTCCCTCACAGTCACAGACAAAAACGCAAATTACCTCACTGAAATGCAAATGACATCACTGAAACCTTTATATTTAAAAGCCTGGAAGTTTGGTGATTGGGATGAAGGTACTTATAAAGATGTGAGTCAGGGGCCAAAGAGATGGTAAAACGGATAAGGCCTTGCATCCGCTGACCCCAGTTTAATCCTGGCACTGCACATGGTCCCCCGAGCACAGAGTCAGGAGTGACCCTGAGCACAGAGCCAGGAATGAGCCCTGAACACAGCCAGATATGGCTCAGAATCCCCAAAACAAACAAAAGAAAAAGCTGATCCTGAAGTCAAAGAGACAGACCAGGAGCACTGAGTACTGAACTCAGCTGGTGTAGCCGCAACCAAAAGTTATCCAAAATTTTATGATACCAACTTTGATCACTTTGACTGAAGAGCACCAAGACGAGCCGCTGAAGACAGAATAGGGAGCCTCAAATGGGCTCTACCCGCGTCGCCAAGCCAGCTGGCATCCTGAGTTCTACCCACCTCCCAAAGATGACTGGTATCATCCTGAGCTCTATTTGCCCCTCCAAGCAGGCTGGCATTGTCAAGAGCTCTACCCAAACTGACTGTCATGGTCTGACCTTTCTTACTCACTATGGCATACCCTACCAGCCACCAACGTGAACCCGTGCCCCCAGCGCCCTCACTTCCCCACCTTGCTGTATGAGATACCGTCGAAGACAGACGTGATCTCCGCCGGGGTGGACACGTTGACAACGATGGGGTGTGAAGACATCAGAGAGTCATCCCCCTGCACGGGTAAGACGTCTTCGAGGAGCATCTGATCTCGCTGGAATGACAGAAGGAGCCACAGGAATACCACGCTGCCTTCCCACCCACTCATGCTTCCCACTGCCGTTTATTTAAGCCAAAGAGGGGCAAAAGGAGTACTGATGGTTCACAGCATTGAAGCGATCGTTGGCTGTTGGAATTTCCCAAACTCAGCTCTGATGGTTCTATCAGCCCACTGCCTGCTATGCACCATCCCCTGCCTTCACCACCCCCACAGGCCTCTGGATTCTGCATCTACACTTGGGCGTGACTGCTAGCTTTCCCGGCCTTATCCCCAGAAACTGAGCCACAGGGAAGACGTGGCCCCTCGCTGATTTGTTCTGAGCATCAAGTGAGGAAGTGGGCTGATTTGCTAAAAATTATACTCAGGCTTTTTTTTTTGCTTTTTTTTTTTTTTTTTTTGATGATGCTCAGGGGTTACTCCTGGCTCTGCACTCAGGAATTACCCCTGGCGGTGCTCAGGGGACCATATGGGATGCTGGGATTCGAACCTGGGTTGGCTGCGTGCAAAGCAAACACCCTACCCGCTGTGCTATCACTCCAGCCCCAGGTTGTTGTATTTTTTAAATCGACTTGAATGACTGAAACTTGAATAATTCCTAACTAATTGCAGCGAACATTAGCTTTTGCATTAACTCTAGTCATCAACTTCTCAACCCAGCCGCACATTTTATCAGCAAAACAGAGAGGGTGAGGGCCTGTCTTCAAAACTTCCTTGGTTCAAAGCTTCCTCACGGCATCTCTTAGAGATGGCCTGAGCGCCAGGTGTGAAGCCCTACTCTCCGCCTGCTACTCTCCCGCGAAGTCTGGAGAACATTCGGCCCAGACCTTGTACTCGGATGCCTTCTAGAGCTCCGAGCTGGCATTTCTGCAGCTATTTTACTTCCTCCCTTTCCTCGCACATGCTCAAGTGTCCCCCAAAGCATCTCCAAGTGTGGAGGTCAGTCGCCTCTTAAACCTGGGGACCAGAACTTGGGACACCCGTGGGCCAACTGGTGCTACAGCACAATCACCCGGAACTGCCAGGTCACCTGTGGACATGGCAGCCCACTCAGGACCCCCGTGGGAGGGGAGGGGGCATGCTGCTGCAGAACTCACCATTTGCCAAGTCTTTTCAGCCTCAGCTACTCCCAGGAACTCGAAGAAGGAAGCAAAGCCTTCATTCAGCCACAAGTCTTCCCACCACTCCATGGTCACGATGTTTCCAAACCACTGGAATCAAGGGGACAACGGGGTGTGAGCTGGACTTGGAGGGGTGGCTGAGTGCTGCCTCCGGGAGCCCATATGCTCAGAGGTGTCTTGCTTTGCTTCTCCAGAGTTTAACAATGACCTCGAAGCTCTTTCGCTAGCCACCTTGCTGCAGGGGCTGCTTTGTTTATGGCCTTTGCTTAAGTACTGAAGGTGCAGCCTTTCCTCCACACACATCTTTTACCAACAGAAAACAGGGCAAAAAATAATGTGTTCATCCAAGTTTCTTGCAGGCAAAATGTGTATTCAGACTACAAAGGACTTGCAAGCAGGATTCTCTGTGTTGGCTACTTTGGTATTTGTGAAATCAGTATTAATTTGAAGTGATTCCTGCAGTCTTAGGTCACTTTAAAATGACAAAGGGTGGGCCAGGAGAGAAGAACAGTGGCAGGCTGTTTGCCTTGTTTGGGATCCCTGGCACTCCACCTGCTCCCGTAGGCACCGCCAGAAGTGATTCCTGAGTGCAGAGCCAGGAGTAACTCCTGCTCATCGCTGGGTATGACCCCAGAACAAACAGATAGAGAAACAGACAATCGACATGCTGTGTGTGTACATGAACTGGTGTTCCCAATGGAGAAAATGAAACATAAGAGATCCCCCCAAAAAAATGCTTTTGTGCTAAATAAATAAATAATGGGCAAGGTAGGTTGCTTTGCTTGTGGGAACCCCGAGTCCAATCCCCAGCATCTCCTGAGCCCTGGGGACCAGTCGGAGTAGCTGTCAGGTGCAGCCTTCAAACCAACCAACAAACCAACCCAGACCTAAAACAGCACCCGCTGGTGTGGTGCAGAGACCCCAGACCTGGTGGACAAGTTCGTGGGCCACCACGCTGGCCACCCGCTGCTTGTTGGATGAGGCGGACACGTTGGGGTCGTAGAGCAAGCTGGTTTCCCGATACGTGACCAGCCCCCAGTTCTCCATGGCCCCGGTGCCGAAATCCGGAATCGCGATTTTATCTGTGGAAAAAGGGAGATGATAGTGAGAGGGGCCCTTTTCCCCTTGTCCGTGACGCTTCTCACCAGATAAAGTTATTTGGATAAATAGCACTGTCCTCCCGTTGTTCATCGATTTGCTCGACTGGGCACAAGTTATTATGAGACTTGTTACTGTTTTTGGCATATCAAATACGTCACGGTTAGCTTGCCAGGCTTTGCCATGCGGGCGCGATACTCTCGGTAGCTTGCCAGGCTCTCTGAGAGGGACAAAGGAGTCGAACCAGGGTCAGTCCACGTCGGCTGCGTGCAAGACAAGCATCTTGCCACTGTGCTATTGGATAAATGTTATTTTTTAAGGCTGAGAATAATTTCTTAGAATGAAGAACAGTCATCTATTTGTATAAACTTAATGCACTGAACATTTCCTTGAAACTTTTCCTGTTGGCTCCAGACAGCACCGTGGGTTTTTGTTTTGTTTTGTTTTGAGCACATCCTCTTTGGTGGCGGGCCTTTGACTGATAATTCCACACCTTTTGTTCCTCTCATTAGCTTGTCAACCTCTGTTGGAGCCTTTTCAAGTGAGGATGTGAAAGGAACCGAAATTCCAGACGCACAGAAATCAGTCCTTCTGAGGACAGGATATTAACACACATGAAATCCTACTGTCTTGTGAAATATAAAGTAGCATAATATGAGACTAACACCTAAGGACAGTAGAGATAAGGGCCAGGAGGGGCACGCCATGGTTTGGAACCAGCCCCACGTGCTGGGGGAAAAGGCAGTTGGGATGGAGAAGGTGAATGATTGTTGGAGGGATTGCCCGGGATGGAAGATGTGAGCTGAAAGTAGACCAGGGACCAAACATGATGGCCTCCTAGTATCTGTATTGCAAACCATAATGTCCCAAATGAGAGAGAGAGGAAGAAGGATGGTACCTCCCACAGAGGCAGGGAGTGGGGTGGGGTAGGTGTGGCAGGTGGGACACTGGGAACAATGATGGTGGGAAATGTGCACTGGTGGAGGGATGAGTGCTCGAGCATTGTGTGACTGAAACATAAGTATGCAAATTTGTAACTATATCTCACAGTGATCCAATAAATCTTTTTTTTAAAAAAAAAAGACAGATTCAAAAAACAAACTACTCTCCCCTAATTCTGCATACAAATCAGATTCCACTCTTTGAGAGTCCTTATCTTCCAAGTCCTTCAGCTTGTTTGTGCTACAGAAGCTGGGTCAGCAGGGAAGTGACCTATTTTGTTTTCCCTTCCCAATCTATAACATGAGCTTCTTCTTTTTTTTTTTCCGTTCTGGGGTCACACCTGACTGACATCCAAAAATACACCCATTCTTTCTGGTTAAAATAAAGGCGTGATAACACCAGTGGTTTGGTTGTGCGCCATTCTGATTCTCAGGCATGGCTACTTTGACAAGAGAGAATTATCCCTCCCCTCCCTCCCCCCCAGCCAAGGGCCAGTGGAGCTCGTGATGGGATGGGTGCGAGTTTGAACATAATCTATGAACAAAATGAATTTCCTGTGGCCATCTTTCTCTGGTAGATATTGAGACTGTAATTTATTAACTCCAATGCATTTACTGTGGGGAATGAGGCATAAAGAATGTAGAGCCATTTCCAAGAAAAATCTGAGGTAGAGTCAATTCAGAAAGGGTTGGAAAAAATGCATGCGAAAAATATGAAGAAGAGGGCTGGAGCGATAGTACAGCGGGTGGGGAATTTGCCTTGCATACGGATGACCTGGGTTCGATTCCCAGCATCCCATATGGTCCCCTGAGCACTGCCAGGAGTAATTCCTGAGTGCAAAGCCAAGAGAACCTCTATGAATTGCTGGGTGTGACCCAAAAAGCCAAATATATATATATATATATTATGAAGAAGAGGAAGTGAGAAATGAATCTGTCAACTCACAATGGTCTCTTTCTCTCTTTCTGCCTCTGTCTCTCTGTCTCTGTCATCTCTCTCTCTCTTATGTGAGATACAAAGAAACACAGCAGGGAAATAACAAATGCCCCCAAACAACAGAAACTGGGAGCTGGCCCTCAGCTAGGACTGCTGCAGGGTCTCCTGGGGAACACAGGACAGTGGGGGTGGGGGAGGGTGCTGCCGTGCGCTAGCACAGAACCCTCCATTAACAGGTTATAGAGGGACCTAAAATTAAATTTTAAAACAGCTTTTAAAGAAATACATTTGTGAGGGGCTGGAGCGATAGCACAGCGGTAGGGCGTTTGCCTTGCACGCAGCCAACATGGCCGACCCGAGTTTGATTCCTCTGCCCCTCTCAGAGAGCCTGGCAAGCTACTGAGAGTATCTCGCCCACACGGCAGAGCCTGGCAAGCTACCCGTGATGTATTCGATATGCCAAACACAGTAACAACAAAGTCTCCAATGGATGTTACTGGGCCTGCTCGAGTAAATCGATGAACAATGGGAGGACAGTGACAGTGACATTGGTGAGATTTCTACTTCACAGGCTACCTTGGACAGTATAAGAAACAGTGAGAGAATCAAAGCTTCCGGTCAAATGCCCCTAAGGTCCTACTGGTGGTTCTAACTTTGATAGTTGCCTTCTCACCAGCCAGTTGCCACCATTGGTGGAAGATGAGGTGGCCACCAGCCTGCCCGAGGCCAGCGCATGTCCAGCCAGAGAGCTCGGTACCCAGGGACTTGTGCTGAAGGTTTCTTAAGGCACCGAATGGAGGTGCTCCTTTCTCCGCGCGCCACTGTCTCCTCCCCAGAGACATTGCTGTGGGCGTGCAGTAAAACCCTTTGTTCACTACAGGGCAGCAAACCCGATGAGTACTGCTGCCTGGGCAACCCCCAGACACACACCATGGCTGGAAATGTGCAGTGCCACATGCGAGGAAACATGTGCGGATCTGGGTGTTGCCGTGATCACGAAGGGAGGTGGCGAGAGAGAGAAAGTGTAAGGAAAAGAAAAGGCAGCCCTGGCGAGTGCCCACTGCATTGCTAGTGGAGAGCAGTTGGGATGGACAGAGGGCCCATCGCTACACCATTCTGACAGCTTTTTTTTTTTTTAATTCGCAAGGGAAACAGGTTGCCTCGTTCTGGGGAAAGATGTTTCTGGAAGGAATTATCTCCCCTTACTCCCACACTTTCTTTGAACACTTGGAGAATCCTGGATTAGTCTTGTCGGACAACACTGGGGAGGGGGTGCTTGGGACCTGGCTGCACCTTTACCCTCCTCGCCTGCACCCAAGGGACACGATGAGTCTGGCGACCTAGTGACCTGTTGCCTGTTGCCTAGTGACCTGTTGCCTAGTGACCTGTTGCCGCCACCAGCAGGGAGACATGCTTGTGTACACACTTTCATCCTTCCCTAGAAGTGGGGCTATATTTTAGCATCTGGTGAGGAGAGAATATAGACACTGTTCTTGCCATCTAGAAAGAAGCGGGCACTGCCGCTACCCACAGAGGACAGTGGGCTGGCGAGAAGCTCAGGAGAAATGAGCTTCTTTTTTCCTTTTTCCCTTTTGGGTCACACCCAGTGATGCACAGGGGTTACTCCTGGCTCTGCACTCAGGAATTACTCCTGGCAGTGCTCAGAGGGACCATATGGGATGCTGGGAATCGAACACAGGCTGGCTGCATGCAAGGCAAATGCCCTCCCCACTGTGTTATCGCTCCAGCCCCGAGACAAGTTTCCTTAAGGGAAGCTCAGGACAGAGGTAACAGGGAGAGGACAGGATGGAGACACAGGCCCTGCCGGAAAGAGGAAGCTGAAAGCTCGTCCGCTTATCTCCCTCCATCCTCACCTAGCTTGGGGAGACTGTAGTTCATGCCAAAGTACTCCTCAAAGAAGTCAAAGACGATTTTGGTGACGTCGGCGGCGTATTCAGCCGTGTGCTTTTGCTGCTCCTGCACGTACACGGTGAGCTGGGGAGAGAAAGACCACGGGGTGAGACACAAATGCCGTCCACGCACGAGACAGCGGGCACGTCTCATCCCAGTTCCCTCTGTGGGCTCAGGATGAATGAGCAAGGGCCACGGGCCTGTGGGCACGTGGGCAGAGCTGGACACGGGAGTCAGTGTGAGGACAAGGGCGGGCAGGGCCTGAAGGCTTTCTGAAACCCACCCTTCAGCCACCGCTGGTGGGGATGTTGGCCAGTTCAATTTCTTTTGTTCATTTTTGGGCTGCACCCAGCAGTGTTCGCTCTGTGCTTGGGGATCACTCCTGAGTTTGGAGGAGCAGAGGGGCTGTTGGGGATTGGGCCATGTCAGTCGCACCCTGCCCACTTCCTCCAGGCCCTGCGTTCAACCTCTTTGGAAAACAACATGGAAATATCTTCAAACACTCGGAATTGAGCTTCCTAGTAATTCCACTTCTTGGCACCTGACCCGAGGGGCCCCAGAACGCTAGTCAGAAAAAACATCGTGTTCCCGTGTTCACAGCTGCACCCATGCTCCAGAGCTGAGGTCTCGAGGTGACTGGGTGTCCCAGAACAGATGACTGGCCTTTCCTGCAGAAGGTAAGACAGATCGCCTGGGGCAGAGAGAGCCCTTGGAATAAACAGAACTGGGGACTCGAGACTCTGGCCAGGCTGTCTCCGTGCCCCCACACAAAGTACTGAGTCTGGGAACTCCAGCTCACAAATTGGGTCACAGACCCAAATATCACAGACCCTAATGTCAACAAGTGAACCTGCAAAACTCCTTGAACAGAGGCCGCACCTAAGTCAAGTTGGTGATGACTTCTTAGGCAGGACAAGAGAGGCACAGCCCAGGGAAGGGTCATGGCTCGTATGAACTTGATTTCAACACCCTGCAGTGGGGCCGGGTTTGGTGCTCAGCCTGCGGCTGGCATGAGTACTGGGAAAGGAGGAGGGTGGACAGTGCTTGGGGCTTACTCCTACTCAGGAATGACTCTTGGAGGTGCTTGGGGGGGTGGGGCTCTGGGGTGCTGGGGAGTCAAACCAATGCTGGTACCTCGACTCTGCACTGTCTCTCTGGCCCAAGTGCCTGGGATCTCAGCTCTGCCTGGATCAGGTGCTCATGAGACAGTGCTCTGAACTGCTGTGATACCCCTCTGGCTCTGTGCAGTCATTTTCTCTCTTCTTCTTCCCTCCCCTCCCCTTTCTGTGGAGAACACCGGGCATTCCCCATGAAGTTAAGTGACTCTGGTTCAGTGGTGACCCCGGAATTTTGGGGGGGGAGGGTTCCTGGCTCAGTGACGCCCAGAGCATCCATAGTGAGCTGCTTTAGACGCTGTTTTAGACGCTCCTCAGGGGCTGGGGAGCCGTGGCTGACGGCTACGGGAGCGGCACGACCCCATTTTGATGACATGAGAGTCGGATCCCAGAACCAGAAAGTTCTCAAGTATCTACACTGTTCGCTCAGGATGGGCTGCTGTGGTGCTCTTGGGGGGTAGTCTGGAGGGAGGGAGTGGGGACTCCCCAGAGGTGCTCAGAGACCCCCGGGTATGCACTGCCATCCCCTGAGTCATCTCCTGGGACTCAGCATGGGGATTTCCAGGTATTTTTCGGAATTCAGTGATTGTGTTTACTTGAGAAATGCTTGCCAGTCAACAAAACCTGCAAAAGACCTCAGGACTGGGTTTCTGGCCAATGTGTCCAAGAAAAAAAACAATTGCTAGCCTTTTTTTTTTTTTTTTTGCTAAACTACTCTAAGTAACTCTTCAAGTTATTTTTTTTTTTTAAATCTTCAGTTCTTCCAGGACTGGAGTGGAGGATGCAATAATGTTCCGAAAACGAAACACAAAGAGCTAGAAGTCTTCTGAATGTGCCCACCTTTTTATTTTTCTGAACAAATTTTATTCTATTTTATTTGCTTTTTGGGTCACATCCAGCGATGCTCAGGGTCACTCCTGGCTCTGCACTCAGGAATCACTCCTGGCGGTGCTTGGGGGACCATCTGGGATTCCGGGGATGGAACCCGGGTCAGCCACATGCAAGGCAAATGCCCTCCCCACCGTCCTATCACTCCAGCCCCTGAACAAATTTTAGAATTGGGTCCTTCAAACTAATTTTTTTTCCCTCATGGAGCAACAAGGACATCTAAACATGACGAATGGCTTAACTGCTAATCTCTGCTAAGCTCTCTCTAAGCGACTATTAACAACACAGGTCTCGGTTCTGTGTTTAATGAAATAAAGGAAATATTTCTGCAAGAATGAACACACAGAGAATCTAATCAGGGCATTACAGAGTCTTGAATAGCAAAGGACAATCTGATTAGGAAGAGCAGGTGACGGAGTCCCAGAAAAAGTTAGAGCTTGTCAGATAAAGAATCTTTGAGTCTCAATATATATATACAAAAAAACTGTTTCATGGAACAATTACCTAGACCTGTTTTTCCTCTGCCCCACCCCCATTAAAAAAAACTAATAAAATGGTATGGGGCCTTTGAGTGGGTTGAGGCAGTGTAAAATCCGTGGCTCTGACATAGCCTCACTGCTCTTCACACACAGAAAGTGACCGTGGGACGAACACAGAAACTCCTCACGCCATACATGGTCTCCAACACACGCCATCTCTAGAAGCTCGCTAGCTGCTAAGCACATCCGCAGGGCACTGGGTTTTGTTGGATATTAACCCTGAGTGGTTGGGGCCTCATCAGCGAATTGCCCCTTTCCTCCTCCCAGAGAAGCTTACAGTGCTCTTACAAGCACCCCGACTCCCCCGAGTTTATCTTTAACCTTCCTGTGTGCTTTGCCGCTCCTTGTTACAGTCCTCAAGTCAGTCTCGGCTACTTATAAGTCAAAAGTTCTGGTGATTCTGGACTTTGTATTTGAAGTGAATTACTCGCTTTTCTATTTCCCCTATAGCCTTTTCATATTTTGCTATAGAGCAATGCTCTTTGCTTAAACACAGAAAGACTATTCATGTTATGCTCCTAATATTGGGAATTGATTGACTCTGAAATGTATCTACTTGTGATGGGCATCTGTTATAATTATTTGACTCAGTCTTCAGTTGCTGTAGTTTCCTAACACCCCAAAAGCAAAGTCTCACCATGGGACTGGAATAGACCTGGGGCGAGCAGCAAAGCTACCCTGAAATGGGACAATCTAGAAAACATAAAAGCCTGGTCTTGATGCAAGCATAAATGGGCCACTCTGGCCCTCCGTCTGTGGCCCCCTGTCTCTTCATATCTCTGCTGGGGAGGCTGGGGAGGAAGTTTTCAACCACCGAACACACGTGTCATGCACCTGTGATTTAAGAGACAGGACCCCCATGAGGAAGGACAAGCTGTACCGGCCTAAGGACTTAGTCTGGGATTTACGGTAAAAGCCTTGCTTGCCCTCAGAGTCCAGAGAACTAAGTTTTGGAATCTAAACCTCTTGCTGTGTTTATCCAAATAACTGCTAGTATTAAGAAGTAAATGTGGGGCTGGAGCGATAGCACAGCGGGTAGGGCGTTTGCCTTGCATGCAGCCAACATGGCCGACACAGGTTCGATTCCCAGCATCCCATTTGGTCCCCCGAGCACTGCCGGGAGCAATTCCTGAGTGCATGAGCCAGGAGTGACCCCTGGGCATCTCCAGGTGTGACCCAAAAAGCAAAAAAAATAAATAAATAAAATAAAATAAAAAGAAGAAGAAGAAGTAAACGTAACTGGTATGTACAACTAAAGGGAAAGAGAAAAGCAATGTAGATGTCCCTGGAGGCAGAGCGTCTCCTCGCGTTAATCCCCCCAGAGAATTCCCTCTGCTGAAACACTTTCCTGTGTGAATAATCGGTCACAGCTGCGTACAGCCCCACACCTCAGCCCCCTCATATGGCGATAGGATGCGAGCAGCTCTGCATCCAATGGGCCATTCCGACCACCACTCTGTGGGCCCCCGTCTCTTTGTCTCTGCTGGAGAGGCGGCTCTCGGCCACTGAAAACACACATCACAGACCCACACATTGAAGTCATGTTTTTTTTTTTTCAGTTTTCTTTGAAAGGAAAGTACTGAAACATTCACCTTGGTTCAAACATAAGCTTATGTATGGCTTCTCACAGCTGGACGATGTGCTTTGGACAAGGGGTCATCACCCTGTCGTGAAGCCCGTGAAAGTACAGTGGGAAAGTACTTCCGGGCACTTGGCATCCCTGCCCCGCTGTGTCCTTTATGCCGGACTCCGCCCCAACACACGCCTCGGCTGGGCCTCTCCGAGGGGCTCAGCCAGCCTGTGCCAAGGCATTCGCTGGAACTTTCCCCGTGAGAGAATTCCAGGCCAGGGCAGGCAGACTGCAGGGGGTTAAGGAGCAGACCTTGAGTCCTGCTGACCCAGTTCCCACCTTGGCCCCATGTGGACCCCAGATACCGCAGGTGCATCCCTGGCAGCCCCAGAACCTGGTGTGGACCCAGGTGGCCTCGGCTGGCATTTTCCTGTCTGGCTTGGCATGTTATCGGGTGCACAAGACCCTGGAGATGGGTGGGCTGTTCTAGTTGTCTGTGCGAAAAATGAGCAAAGTGAACCCACAAACGAAAGTCCTCGTGCCCTGCTAAAGAAGCCCACAAGGCCCATGTGGTCCATAGGTTAGGACACAGTGAAAGGGGAGGGATCGATAGCACAGCGGGGAGGGCATTTACCTCACAGGCAGCCGACCCGGGTCCCATCCCTAGCACCCATATGGTCCCCGAGCACCGCCAGGAGTAATTCCTTGAGTGCAGAATCAGGAGTGACCCCTGAGCATCGCTGGGTGTGACCCTCAAAGTGAAACCAACCAACCAAGCCACACGAAGACACAGTTGGTTAGGAACTCACCGGGATGCCTCGCTTGGACGTCCTGCTGACGGAGGCGAACTGGTGGACGGCAAAGCAGACCAGGTAGGTGCTCATGGGGACAGACTTCATGAACTTTGTCCGTGTCCACCCGTTGTCCAGCTTCTCAGAGCTCTGTTGGGAACAGCAGACGCTGGTCAAGTTCTTGGAAGCTCCAGGCATAAAAGGACAGAAACCCAGGCTCCTCCGGGAGGGAGGAGGCGGGCAGGGGGGCGTCAAGGTGTCTCCTGCTGGTGGCGCTGTGGCAGGGCAGGGCAGGGGAGGCCCACAGCAGGGTTGCTGCTGGCACCACCTGGGCCAGCCTCTGACCCGTCTGTTTGTTTGTCCATCTATCCACACTGAGAGCCACGGGTCCTGGACCTTCAGGAGTCAACACGGCAGCCCATGTATTTCAGCCACGTATTTTGTATTCTAGCATTTCGGCCCCTGTAGACGGCAGGGATGGCAGTGGGTCGGGGGAGCAGGGGGCACGTTTCAGGGCTGCTGCAGCCGTGGGCTCTGCCACTCCCCATCCCGCTCCTGTGCAGGGGGACCTGCACCAAACTCCCAGAGCTCACCGGACATGGTCGAAGGGGCTGGACTTAAAGAGGGAGCAGGCCAGCAGGGGCAGGGGGACAGCCTCGCGCCCCGCCGGGGCTGGGGTTAGAAGCTGGAGCGATAGTACAACATGAGGGCATTGGCCTTGCACGCAGCTGACCCAGGTTCAATCCCCGGCATCCCACATGGTTCCCTGAGCACTGCCAGGAGTAATTCCTGAGTGTAGAGCCCGGAGTCACCCCTGAGTATCACTGGGTGTGACTCAAAAAGAAAAAAAAGAAAGAAAAACAAAAAGAAGCTGGGGGAGAAGCTCTTAAGGGGGCAGGGACTTGTATTTGAGCCCAGCACCACCCCCCCCCCGCCTCCTCTCTCTCTCTCTCTCTCTCTCTCTCTCTCTCTCTCTCTCTCTTCTCTCTCTCTGGACCCTCTTCTCTCTCCAGACCCCCTCAGAGGCCAGAAGAAAACCAGTGGGATAAAAGAGCTCTCGAGGCATGGACAGGGACAGCGTGAACTTTCAGCTAAACTTTTTAGGCTTTTCTTTTCTTTTTCTCCGTCCCCCCCCCCTCCTTGGGGTTCTGGGCCACACCAGGCAGTGCTCAGGTCTTACTCCTGGTGGGGTTCAGAGACCCAAACAGGGATGAAACGTGGGTCCAGCTCCCGCTGTGTGCAAGGCAAATGCCCTGTCTGTTGTGCCGTTTCTCTGGCCCTGATTTCTTTTTGCTGCTGCTTGTTAAGGAGGAATGTTTGGCTCCAGGGAATGGGATTCAAGGATGTGAATCCAGAGGGCAGATGAGGGCCCGGAGCGCTAGAATGCCTTTAGCGTCCTTGCCTCGTATTCATACCCGGCTGAGCCAGGTTCAATCCCCGGTGCCCCGTGGGGTCCCTCGAGCCCCCCAGGAGTGAGCCCTGAGGACAGAGTCAGGAATCAGTCCCAAGCCTGCTGTTGCCCCAACACCAAGCAGAGCAGAGGCGGAGGAACAGCAAGGGAGCTGTGATTTGAACAGATTGTTCTTGGATGGAGGCCGGCGCCATCCTAAAGACGAGACTGGCCCTCGGCGTGCCGAATGCCAACATGCCAACAAACCTCCCCTCGGAGGAGACATCACCTTAGTGAGGACGTCACTCATGACGGGACGGGAAGAGCAGAGGCAAAAAGAGCCCAACGTTGCTCGCCAGGAACCGAGCAGCCGGAACAGAGGCCGTCCTTCTTTCACCTTTAGCACTGACAAGTTCTTCTCCCCCGCCAGACACCCATGGGTGCCGCACTCCAAGGGTGCCCGCCACAGCCCTCGAATTAAGCGGTGACTTTCTGCAGGGACTCTGCCTTGAGGTGAGGTCTGTCTGCATGGGCCATCATTCACCTGTCAGCCATTCATGTGTGACCAGGAGGGAGGGGGTGGAGCTGAGCCCAAGAGGTTTTGGGGTTCTGTTGCTCAGACCATGTCGAGGTGGCTTTAGGCCACAGCTGTGGCATCTCAGCTGAAAGACTGCGAGGAGTCAGCACAAAGGCCACCCCCCACCCCCCAGAAGCCCTTTCAAGCCTCTACACTGAGCACTGGAGTGTGAGAAACAGTAGAATTTGGCAGGTTTTGGCAAAGGGACGCCCTAGTGCCATTTCAAGCCTCGACACCAATCCCTGGAGTGAGGAAGGGCAGAATTTGGCAAGTTTCCGGGTAGCCCACTGGGCAACTGACCCCCCGGCTGCCACCCCAGGCATCTGTATGGGCAGGAAGAGGAAGGACTCACCTGCACAGGCATGTTGGACAGGGCCTGGTAGTCGTTGGGGTGGACGATGGTTATGTTGTATGTGGCCTTCTTGTTAGGCTCGTCGAAACACGGGAAGGATTTCCTGGCATCAGTGGGCTCGTGGTCCGTGGCCGCGATGCTCCTTGTAGACAAACACACAAAGGACACCAATGCATGGGGCTGTGTCCCTTAGTTCTCATGGAAGCAGATCAGTGAGATGACTGGGGGCTGGGCAGCATGACGATATGGGGTCACAGGATGATGTGGGGTCACAGGACGATGTGGGGGGTCACAGGACAGGGGGGAATGGGGGAGGGGGCCTGACCACAGGGCCTCACACATGCCGAGCACGCTCCTCCAAGGGCTGCTCCCCCTGCCCACTTCTGTGATGGCTCTTTTGTCCTTCTTGGTTTGGGGGGTCAGTGGTGGCTCCCAGCTGTCCTCAGAGCCTGGGCTTCTGCGCGTGTGACCCAGCCCTGGAGTTAACCCTGAGCCCCAACAAGTGATTTTCTTCGCCTTTTTTACCCCCTTTATTGTTTGCTTTTTTTAAAAAAAAATAATTTTCATCACCACTGCTTTTCTTAAAATTAACTCCCACAGTAGCCTCTCTGAGGTTAACAAAGAAACAAAAAGCCAGAGATTGCTTCGAATGTCATGATGATACGGATTTGTTTGTTTCTGATAACAAAATAAAAAATCTAAAGTGCCGGTGAGCAAAAAGAAATACGGCTGTGAGCATCACCCAGGCCGCTTGAAAGCTCAGGCAAACAGGGAAGTGCAGAGCAGAAGACCTGAGCTCTGGGGCTGGCTGCGACCACCCCTGTGAGGGCAGCGCCTCAGTCTGTCCTGGCAGAGGGCAGAGTCCAGAGTCAGTCCAGAGCCGCTGCCTCTGCAAAACCACAGTCTCCCTCTTCCCCACTGACTTGCCTCCAGGACTAGGCCCCTCATTTTATTGCCCTGCACAGATGGAGCCCAGGCCCCTCCCTAGGAGTGAACTTTGACCAGGTTTACAGTCCCCTCTGGGCAGGGAAGCAGCTTTTATAGCCCAAATATTCAGCTTTATTAAAGGATTATTATGGCTAGAGTGATAGCACAGCAGGTAGTCATTTGCCTTGCACAAGGGTCAACCTGGCCTACCCGAGTTTGATTCCTACACCCCTCTCGGAGATCCCGGCAAGCTATCTTGCCCACATGGCAAAGCCTGGCAAGCTCCCCGTGACATATTCACTATGCCAAACACAGTAACAACAAAGTCTCACAATGGAGACGTTACTGGGCCGGCTCGAGCAAATCGATGAACAGCGGGAGGACAGTGCTACAGGACAGTGCATTCTGGTTTCAGGTGCAGCATATTTTGGTTTAATTTTTTTTTTCCGTCCTTTTGGGTCACATCCAGAGATGCTCAGGGGTTACTCCTGGCTCTTCACTCAGGAACTACTCCTGGTGGTGCTCGGGGGACCATATGGGATGGTCCAGCCTCAGCGATTTAACATTTTCATCACTGAATGCGAAAGAGCTACCTGAACAATTACTCAAAAATCAACAACTATGTGCCCTTTACCGACAGGTAATTCCTCTTGTGTGTTTACTTGGCAGAAGAGAAGCAATGTGTAAAGAACAAAAGAAAGGAAACATTAGGAAGGCTTGGTGCAGTTCCCTAAAGCATCCGCACAAGGCGGAATAACAACTGTCGTCTGGGATCCTCGGGATGAGGGAGGCACGCAGTGTCAAACCAGCCAGGAGGTAGCCTAGAGCTCCCACCCTCCTCACTACATCCCTTCCCTCAGCACACACATATCACGGATGATTGCAGGCATTATTTGGGGCCTTGGGGGAATAACAAAGGCGAAATAAGCAATTGCAGAAGAGAGATGGCAGAGCAGGGGCAGTGCCCAGGGTACGGGCAGCAGGGAGCTGAGGGAGGAAAGGCCAGACAGGGCAAGACTGGGGCCGATGTGTAGTAGATGGCATAGTGGCCTCCAGGGCAGACAACGCCTTCATATCTTCAGCTCTTTATTTATGTATTTAGTTTGGGGCTTGGGGCCACACCCAGTGGCACTCAGGACTTACTCCCAGCTCTGCCCTCAGGGATCATTCTTGGCAGGGGACCATGTGGGGTGCTGGGAATTGAACCCCAGCTGGCTGCGTGTAAGGCGAGCCTCCAACACGCTGTACTATCACTCTAGCCCGTGTCTGAAGATCTTTAAAGACAAGAACTTAAGACACATCCTGCATGGCTGAAAGGAAGGGGCTGAGGAACTGGGCCAGCTGGGGGCTGGGGGCTCCAGCAAGGTTGGCAGGGCCGAGGTGGGTCTCCATTTCCCAGCGTTCAGGGATGTGTTATGAATGTAACAGGCTATAGGGCAAGACCCAACTACAAGAAAACATAACTCCTCAAGGTCCCTCCCTCCCTCCCTCCCTCCCTTCTTTCTGTTTTCTTGGGGGTCCACGCCCAGTGGTACTCAGGGCTTACTACCGGCTCTCTGCTCAGGCATCGCCCCTGGCATATTCAAGTGGCCATGTGGTATGCTGGGGATCGAAGCTGGGTCAGTCTCATACAAGAAAAGCGCTCTAACCACTGTACCATCTCTCTGGCCCCTCAAATTTTTCTTTAAAAACTAATAACCCTGAGACATAAAAATTACTTTCTTAAAAAAATTCAAGAAAGAATTAATCAGTTAATTCACTCCAGTAAAAATTTAACCAGAAAGGTGGTTATCCTTGAGATGAATGATGAATGAGGGAAATCTTTGGAATGTCAGGAAGACAAACAAACTGTGCCTGAGAGAGGTACAGATAACAAAGATGACGGCTCTTGTCAACACTCACTGACCAGTGACCACTGGATTTGTGCATTTAAGAGTATACAAAGTGCACCTAAAAATAACAGCAAGCACTGAGCTCTAGGGGCCAAAGCATAGCCCGGTAGGCAGTCGGCTCAGGTTCAATCCCCGTCACACCCGGTGATCCCCCGAGAAATCATATGGTCCGCCAGGAGAAATTCCTGGGCACAGAGCCAGGAGTAAGCCCTGGGCACTGCTGTGTGGCTCCAAAAACAATCCGAAAGGAAACTGGAAGCAAAGCTCTCAATACTGGGAAAGAAAGCAGCACATCAGCGTGGGGCATGGGGAGGTGAGCAGCCTGGCACTGGTTGTAACTGTGGACGGGGCAGAAGCTCAGCATGTTCCCAAGGCTCTTGGCAGCGGGACAAACACCACCACACACAGAGATCCCAGCTGTGCTACTGAGCGTGGCGGAGCACTCAGAGGAGTTTGGAGTCCAGGGCACAGACGCCCTCCATGGTGGTCCTAAGAGTGTCTCCAGGGCACGGAGCCGTGGACTGGGAAACTGGGGGGCTCCGAGACCATGGCAGGACAGTCTCAGGCCAACAGCTGCATCCCCCAGTGCCAGAAGAAAGGACTCGCGGGGCCCAGGGAAGGGAGAATTTGCCTTGCGCACCACCCACCCGGGCTCAGTCCCTGGCACCCCATAGGGTCCTCTGAGCCTGCCAGGATTGATGACCCCAAACTCAAAGCAACAGAAAAAGGAAGGGCATTCCCAGGGCCTGGGAGCAAGTCAAGAGCACACGGAAGCTCACTGGAGAGGCTCTACAGGCCATGTGTGTGTGAGCGCACACTTGTGTGTGTGTGTGCATGCATGTGCATGTGTGTGCGTGTGATGTGAGTGTGTGCGTGTGCCTGTATGTGTGCATGTGTGGAGGGGGGGGGTTAGGGGAGGACTGAAATACTAAATGAACTACAGGACCCAAACCCACTAAGAATCCACAAACACTGACTCGGACGCAGTTAGTGAGGGAGAAGGAAACCCATCCTTTTTACTCATAAGGGAGTTAACAAAGGAGGAAAGATGGACTTAGGAAGGACCAAAATTAGTGACGCCATGGCCCACCAGGAGTGACCTCTGAGCACAGAGCCACCGGGTGTGGTCCAAACAAGCAAGCCTCCATATAATATAACACATATACCAATTGGTGATAGACATACATACATATGCACGATCAGTTTGTGGGAGCAGGTAGATAACACAGAAGGTTGCGTGTTTGCCTTGCACGCAGCCCACCCAGGTTCAATCCCCAACCCTGCCCACGGTCCTGAGTGGGCCAGGAGCAGTTCCTGAACACAGAGCCAGGAGTAGGCCCTGAGAACCACCTCCCAAACAAAAATAAATCAACAATTTTTTCAAATAGCCATTTGTGAAATAGGAAGGGTCTTTTCCGGCAAGAGGGTGTTGGGACAGCATTGCCCCAGGCTCTGGCACACAGGACAGCTCAGGAGCACAGGGTCCAACCAGGCATCGCAGGGGCTGCCAGCAGGCCCCGCAGTGGGGTGGGCAAGAGATGCGGTAACAGTTCCTGATCTTCATGATGGCCTGTGGTTACTGAAGAAAGCTCCTACCCACGGAAACAATGTTCTAATGCTCCAAAGGGAGGGAGGCTCAGCGAGAAACAGCCAGACCAGGGCACCAGAGCACAGAACGTGAGAATTGACAAATGCCCCAGAGGATCCCTGTGCCAACTCCCCATGAAGCTGGCCAGAATGAAAGGTCACTCCAGGAGGCGTTCCTGGGCGAGCCTCAAGGGATCCATCCCGAGCACTCGGCCCAGGCGTCCAGGACCTGGGCGCCCCATGCCAACTGCCCGTCCGCCTGAAGAGAAGGAGCCAGGGTGCCCCGGGAGCTGAGCTCCGAGACAAGCCGCAGGAGCGCCAACCCTGCGTCTGACCGAGGCCTTTCCCGTGGGATGCTTCCTGCTGCTCACGCCTTGGGCAGGAGGGAAAAGGTGCTGCCCAGAGGGCACAGCGCAGGCACTCGGAGCAGCCTGTCATTAGTGTGCCTGAGCATGTGCGTGCATGTATGTGCGTGTGCCTGTGTGAGCGCACACATGCCACTTTAATCCTCCTCACCTTACCTGAGCCCATTGATAACATCTGTGTCTGACTGAGGCAGGCACTTCCAAGCTCCCTCCCCCTTCCTTCCTTCCTTCCTTCCTTCCTTCCTTCCTTCCTTCCTTCTTTCCTTCCTTCCTTCCTTCTTCTCTCCATCCATCCTTCCTTCTTTCCTTCCCTCTCTCTTTCCCTTCATCCTTCTCCTTTGTTTCCTCCCTCCCTTCCTTCTCCTTTCTTC